TGCTACTTACATACATGTATTTTGCAAACTATTGCATAATTACATCTGTATCTTTGTATGCATACAAATGTTCAACCATCAGGTTTTCAAAACTGTGGACAAGGGTGACTGGTGCTTTTATGGTAACTTATCACTGTTCCAAAGCCAAAAAGAGCAGTTTAAATTGTCCTAAACTCCTTCACACTGAATGACATATAAACGTGTATTCATTTCCCGTATCCCATCCTGGCAGCACCCTGGAGAGATTCCCATTAAGTTTGTACAGACAAGGAGATTCAAATTCCATGCAGGTTGATTGTGTGTGGAGTGGCTGAACGTTTTATCAAATATTGCTTTGCATGACAGTCTGACAATTTTTAAAAAGTTACAATGTGTTGACAAATGTAAGACAAAGCCCTCCCACCAGTGGTCAGCATTTGTAAAGTCCAACTTTTAAAGGATATGGTTGTGGGTTCTCTTGCTTAAAAGTTGGTATTTTCAGCCAAAAATTGTACCACAAAAATATGCTGTGATGGAATACTACCATCAGCACTTACTGGAAAATTCCCATCAGCACTTACTGGAAAATTCCCATCAGCACTTACTGGAAAAAGACACAGCTGTGTGAAGTTTTGCAACATGCGGGTCTGCTTTGAAATAACACAACCCCATTAATCCCATCTATAATTCTTTGTAGAACTATGGAGAAAAAACTGTGAAAGAGTATCTACATGTGCCTACATGCACATGAACATGTAGCATTGACATATCTGTAGTACAGGAATGCGTAGACAACATGTGACATGTAGTTTCACCATCCTTGTATTTGTACATGTACTACCGGTCCAGTTCTACACTTCAGAAGGGATGACCATTGTAGGAAGAAATTTGGTTTCATTTTCATGTTTAATAAGAACCAGTGCAATACAGAATCCAATGTGGTGAAAAATGAGATGGTGTTATTCCACTGAAGTTGGTTGGTTTCATAGTTTAGTTTGAAAATAATGCTGTACTGAAATAACCAGGAACTTTTGTGTTAATGTTTACCTTCTGAAAGTGAGGAATTTTTTCCCACGCTTCTCAGCAAAATGCAGGCATCTCAAATGACCAGTTTCTTTTGTTATTTATGATACAAAAATGACTCCATAGCACTATTTTGTATTGCAGTCCATTGCAGGTCTCCATTCTTTGTATTTAGCTTTTAAGGAAGTTTTTTTAATGGGGGTTGCCTTTTCATCTGTTGGGCGCTGTGCTTTTTCTCGCACAGTGGTTCCATAATCCAATTATCCTGGAAATTTCATAAGTTAGAAGAATTCTTGCAACACAATATCCCATGCCACTGATTCATGACCAAGATAATGGTGGTTGCGGCCAAGTCAAATGGGCCCCCTGCATTTGTCACTTCCTTGTTTACTTGGCCTGGACCTGAGGGGAGAGAAACCTTCCTTAGTGTCATGTAAGCTTTTGCCAAATGAAAACTTCCCAGAACACATGTACGCTGTACATGTACGAACATGTACATGTACATGAACCTTGCATGTGTACATTGTACATGTATATTGATGTGAGCAGCACACGTTTCTGCCAGCCTCATCCTTGGTTTTCCTGATTGATTAGAACAACATTTAGATAAACATGTACATGTATACACAAAACAGAAGATACATACATGTACATATACATGTGTGAATGGAAAACTGCTCCAAATTGTTTGAAATAAAGGCACCAGTAGTTGTTATTGGAAAGCAGTTGATGACACATTGGCAAGTGACAGAACTTGGCACAGACATTTCATTGATGTCTGTTAGTGACAGTGATTGATACCTTCAGGAAACGTTGTTTGATGTATGGTAACGTTCCAAGTAGATGAAAACATCTGCCATCTACCAGTGTGTGTGTAGAGTAATGCATTGGTATCAACATTTCATCTTCATTTTACAAGTAAATACAGTTGGAGTTACAAAACAAAAATAGGAGTATTGTACATTGTACTTTAAACGTCTGGAACTGCCAGCTTTCCAGAAGTCTTGCACTCATGCATCATGTGACGTCATAAATATTACACCAGATACTACATCAGCCTTACACCAGAGACTGTATATTACATCAGCCTTACACCAGAGACTTAACAGTAATCTTCCTGTATCCTTCAGTCAGGATTTTGGAGGATGTAGGAGGATACATGTAGACATAGAGTCCAGCCACTCTTACTGGGACTTTTAATACATGGGGTTTGACGACCCAAAAGATTGTACCATTTACCTGTATTCCTACATGTACATGTGTACGGTCATTTTCTCTGTATTCTTTTTGCATTGCACTCAGTCCATACTGTTGATCACCATGCCAAACATTTGCTTCATGAAAATTTTCCTGCAGATTTCATTACTTCATGTTTTTTTGAGAAATGTTGATGACTTTTCAGTTTCTCATACCTTTTTCCGGTTGACCCCACATTCTTGCATCAATTTTACTTGATTTGTGATCAGACGCCTCAAATTGAGCCGAAGGACATCTCCCACTTACATGTACAGTATATGTTTCTAAGTTCAAACTTCCCTGTGAAAATGGATGTTACACATGTATAGATGGAAAACATTGATAGTTTACTTTGCGATAACTTCAATGTTCATGATTTGTTAAGGGCCTGTAACTCAAAAGTACATGTACATGTAATTCTTACTTGTTGTACATATGCCTGGTACTGTATTTGATTAGGTTATGGGCACACGTGCAATTGGTCAAGGTACAGGAACCAGTAAGTCTGGAATTCTTTGTAGGGAGTTGATAGGACAGGAGTACATGTACTGTAGCAGATAGATTTTTCCCCTGGTACTAAACTCTAAAAAGTACATGTAATATATTTCATATTTCAGGTGGGGTCATTATAGTTCCAATTACCCAGGGGACTATGGCGTGTTTGCTGCCCAAGGGCCAGGAGGTAACAGGAGACCAACTCGGCCACCCTTTGCACAGCCTCAACCTCAGGGTCAAGCTCAACCTCATCCCCAACGCATTAACTCGTTGTTGACTGGGGGAGGTAGTCCTGCACTCTTCCGGCCAACACAGACATCCAACATGTATATGAAACCCAGACAGGTAAAAAATTAGTATGAAATTATTTATGAAAACATGACCCTGTCTTTGACTACAGCTTCAGTCTCTAACTTCCCTGACCCTGTTGTGGCTCAACACACGTCCATTAGTTGTTGCATGAACTTTCTATCGTGTTACTTGAGCGTGGATGTCATTTCTCAATATCCCAGGACCTTTATGTTCCAAAATTCTGCATTCTTAGAGGTTTAACTATATACTGTAGGTTCCATTACTTTTATTTTTTGAAAAAACTATTTGCAAGAGAGATTTATTGTTACCCTTCCTACAACCTCATGTTGAATATTTTTTTGGATTTGTGTCCCTCCCTCCCTCGATATTCAGATGGAATAACTTTTTAACTTTCAACTACGATAGTTTTTGATTTTGTTTTCAAGTCTGAGCTTAAGCACCGTTGATATATTAATATTGGCTTGGTATCGATATTGCAGATGTAGTTATTGGGTAATATCGATATATCAGATTATATATCAGATATATCGGATTTTCAAGAAATATTGAAAATATTAAAACTTTGAAATATCTTTATTGAAAAATATACCGCAAATATCGCTTCTCAGGAATGAATTTTATTAAAAGTATGAAAGTGCATCATCACATCACGGTAATTTTCAATGAGCCACGGCTTATGTTGGTTCTCACGCTAAATTCGTTTACCTTTTACACACATTACTGTGCATGTGACATTCACTTCTGTACTCTGTAGTGTCACCATGGACCCAGACTAAATATAACCTCACAGAACGTTGGCATTACCAGGCGCAGTGCACGTACATGCAGCTAACGCATATGTAGTCAACTTTACCCGCTTGAGGAAAGACTAGCATAGGGGTTACAGCAATTCATGCATTGACATCAACCCCTATAGAGCGCATGTGCTTGTGTGTTGTATGATCGATTCTGTTGCGTCGTCAGATGTACATGAACAGTACGTTCATGCATACTCTACGTTTACCATATCGTGTGTTTACATGGTCGAGTTTTTGACAGCTAGTCAGGTACATGTCGCTTGCAATGAGGTAACCTTGCAGGGTAACATACAGTTACTATGTTCTACTCTCTTTTTTCTTACATATGCTAATGTAACTTTTCGGAAGTGCATGTAAACTTTTTCAATTGCTTGCACTCATGGTGCAGGTAGAACCTTTTTTCTAATCCAAAGCCTGGTTGCAGTTGGTATTCTCTATTGGCATCGGTCTGCAAACTCCACCCTTATTTGCATAATCATAAATATGCATTGCCACTCTAAAGAAACATAATTCATTGATAATATTTAAAATAACGACGATTGATTGGACATTTCAGATTTCATATGTACAACATTTTAAAAAGTGCAGAACCACAAACGATGATATCTCTTCATTATCCAGGACATTTTGGTGCAAAAAATGAAGTTCACTTTTTGTAGCTGTGACTAGAAAGGTGCATTGTGGGATATAGAGTCCAAACTGCTCTCAGGCTTATCAGTAGATGGCGTGAAAGCTGTAAGTTAAGGTGAAATTAAAATGAATAAATATCGATATATCAATATAAAAAAAACGATATATCAATATCAGCCAAGATACAATATCGACGGTGCCTATCTAAGCTATGCTTTTTGAGGCCACATTCCTGAATTTGACTTCTTGTTTGCAAACAATCTTTCGTCTCTCGTTTAGCTCCCCGGTAACCCTCACATTGGTGTCCAGCGCACCAAGTCGGCCCCCATCAGAAGATCCTCCCAGCCTGCCCAGCCGTACCTGTACCAAGCCCCGCCCCCACAAGACGTCTCTAACCAACCCATGGGGGACCCCGAGATAACCAATCGTTTGGAGAACCTTTGCCTGAGCATGACGGAGCATGCTTTATCTGGTAAGTCCCTTTCCTTTATCCCAGCAGATTTTACAGTAAGCAAATCCTACAGAACCGAGTTTGAGTTGTGATACTGGCTTCTCCCTCAATGTAATTTACTCAGTCTTGTATATAGACTCATCAGAGGTCACCGCATATTATTAGTCGCAGGAGTACAGTAAGTAATGCACACGCCAGCTATGTACCCAGGAGTAGGCTCCGTTTGTATCAGACTCTCTGATAGTCTGTATGTCTGAGTCATTTCGATATTATTAAAAATGTGATATCAGCGACATCATTTTTAAAGTGATGTATCAACGAAATCTATGTTCCACTGTAGTAACAACTTGTAACTCTACTTAGAAATTTAATGGTTTATCATTCAGTGCCGTCCCAACATGTTTGAACTCAAAAATAAGATTGCACATAATGGGTCTGGAAACCACAACTTTTTACTTGCGGAGACATTTTCACTACTGTGCCGTACTCTATGACTTGCCAGGTATAATGTACCAGTGCACTAGCTGGCTTAGTCTGGTGTACATGTACTTCTAGCAACAAGTTCACACTGTAGTTGGGTATGTTCAGGGTTACATCTGAAGAGAATCCACATTAAGCCCAAATGATAAATTGCTGGAAGCAGAACTTTGAGCTCTGAAGCTGAGGGACTTCTTTGCCAGGAAGAATTCTGAAACTCTAACCTCCATCATTCTGCACTGTACACATTTTGTACTCCCTATAGAGGCTTTGCGTGGTAGCCATCTTGCAGGGCAGTTCTTTTGCTCCTCAGGGAAACCTCCTTTGTGCATACCGTGTGTAACAAACAAAATTGGCCTTCAAGATGGCAGCCATGCAAATCCTCTATGGGTGGTAGTGAACTAATTCAAGCCCCATTAGAAACAATGTAAAAATCAACAAAGTTCATGGCTCAATAACATGCAAGCTGACCATTACTGGAGATTCTCAAAACAAAATTAAATTAATGTCTTGACCCTAGTCTTTCCATTTCTTTTCAGTTTTTGGTGGGTTATCCAACTACATGTTGAATTATTCACGAAAAAACCCTCGTCCCTAAAAAAGTAATACATGTACAGTCCTCAAGCTTGCTTGCAGCCATTTTTCAAATGGCTTCCCTCTACTTTTCCAGCACCTACATGTACATGTACATGTAGGACCATCTTCAACTCTTAGTTTTATCAACTCTGCTCTCGGATGGAAGCCCCCAAACATTGGGAGTTGATCCTGCTATGTGCAATTTTAGATAAATTCACAGCAAATTATCTGACCTTGGTAATCACATTGCAATTCTCTCTTCAATTTACCAGACGGGGGAGAACAACACAAGAGCAACAGAAATTGAAAAATGTCACGTTCCACATGGAGATACGAGATTCTAGTCACACCTGAAGGTCTTTGTCAATGGGGGAACATACTGGCACAAGGACAATGGAGGAAAGCCATGCCCCCCGTCTTCCAACCACCAATGGTGACGAGGTCAACACTCTGTCACTCACAACCTACTGTCATGCAAATTGGACCGCAGTCCCAAGTCGTACGCCAAGGGCCCTGGATGTTGCACATTGAGCTGTAGTCACTGTGTGGTGTGAAGTTGAATTTGGGCCTTTACCATGCGCCATTTTAACCATCCAAATATGTACAGTATATTTGCATTATTAATGGTACAAGTTGTTCTTATTCCCCCAAATTACAAGATGAACGAGGATGATTGTTTTCTTTTTTTCGAACCGTTGTATTCCTAATGAATAAAGGAATGATTTGATTAGATGATTTAAAAAACAAGTGATGCACTCTGTTTCATTTTATTCGGTACATGTACGTGTACTTCCTTTTTTTTCTGTCAAAGAAGACACTATGCTGAATGAAATCAGCATATTATGTTTTTGAAGAAGCACGTTGCTTATCTTTTAATTATCTGGTTCATTGTGTCACACTTGTTTCCTCCGAAGAAATGTTTGAGTTCATTTCTGACATGAATTTCTCAGGAGGGAAAAATTCATACATAAAGTTCACTCACTTTTATGAAAAAAAAGGAAAATCAGTTTGTGGGCAAAATTTAGTCCAGTGGAGGGACTCCAGTCAGAAGTTATATTTTGTGTGAAACATTCTTCAATTGTGTTTCATTTTTCAAATAATTTCTGAATCTACTTTAACCAACTACATGTACCTTGGAGCTTGTGGAAATTTCATGTACAGTAAAGGTAAAGACACACATTTCTGGAAACCATCAGTTCACGTTTGAATGCGTTGAATTTGTTTTCTTTTATGAGACTGGAAAAGTTTAAAATGTCTTCTCATATGTATACATGTATGTCTTGTTGCACTAAGTTTTCCTATTGTAAACTTCTATGTAAACTTACAATATGCTGTATATTTTGCTTGAAAAAAATGTTATTGGTCAATCTGTGCTCCTTTTTTGAACTCTTGTACAACTGATGTGTAAACAATCAACATGTCCATATATGTGTACATAAACTCTAAGTATGTATGTAACTTCAACATTTCAGAGGGAATTAGTTATTTGTGAAATTCCCTAATCTAGAGATATTTTCCAGTTGACTGATGAAAAAAGTTTTTGGTTTTGATATACTTAGTGGATGGACTCTGACAGTAAAATCCTAGACTTCCCAAGGTCTGTCATTGGACATGGGCAAAGCGGGATATATAAGTGGTTTCAAAACTCTTTTGAAAAGTTTTGATTGTCAGTGTCTCTTTTCCTCTCTGTTTGGTGCTGTGCACCTTGACTGAAGATATACTGTATTTGCACTCTCAGGCTGCTTTCAAGAGGGTTACAGACTTCCAAGTGAGTGAACACGACGAATATGATGCACTAATGAGCAAGGCATACTCTTGATTGGAGCAGCAGTGTATGCAGAGTCAAATTCAACAACACATGCTTTAAGTTTTTTGACGGGAATCCACACAGCCGAGTGGGCTATTGTGAGGGTTGTATATGTACCTTGGATTTTTATGTTTAGCGCAGGGTGTGAGGTTTGACACTTAAGGTAAAATTTCTGACATTAAACATGAGGATAGGAAATGATCTGGAAACAAGGTTAGACCTGTATGGAATATATGTTTGCCTCAGCTAAAGTGCATTGGTGCCACAAGTTGTAACCTCGTGATGGACAAACTGATGGTTTTGTATTTTCTTTTTGTTCCTTATGGCTGTGGTGCACCATTTATTAGTGTATTAATAGTTGAGCACCATAAGTCTAGATTGAGTTGGGGAAACCACTACATTTACAAGAATGCCTCTGAGAGGAGTAAACATTTAACAAACAAACACACCCTGGAGGTTGTGCTACACCTTGGTTTTTAATTTAGCTCTGTTTTTAATAGAAAACTAAGTGAACATTGAAAAGGTATATTCTGACATGGAGACAGAATTCAAATTCTTTAGAAGCTTTTGATAACTTAAACTCTTGAGCCATTGAAAAGAATGTAGGCAATGGTAAGTTGTCTACAGTCTGGAAAGTGTTGTAGTTTTATTTTCTGGAAAAAGACAACCTGACGCTAACTTGCTTCAGCACGTCATGCTGTCAATTAATTACCCTGGTGGTATATGTACAGTGTCGTCTTCAAGTCTGTTTTAGTTTGCCTTTGTAGTGATTTAGAATTCTTGTACTTTTGGTTGAGTTAATTTGCGTAATCTTTAGCTTTAGTTTGGTGTTTAAACCTGACGTGGTTTTGATACCTGTTAGAAATATTCATGTGCCGTGCAATGCTTAAAAATTGACGCTTGAACATGTAATCACTTGTTGTTTCTGCATTTCAGATAGTTTCAACTTATTTACAGTTCTGGGCCTCTGGTGCTTTAAAACAATGCAAAAAAGTAATTGGATTGCTCAAACCAAAAGCGTGCACTGCATTGTGGAAAAAGGTCAGTGTTGTGGAACTCTGTTACATAGCGATAACATACAGCTTGGCATTGTCATACCTGACACATGATGTCACAACCAAATCTTGCAACTTCCTCTTCTCATCAGGGCGAGGGAAACTGGAATTGTTCTGTTTACTAACTGGTATCCATCTCATTTGTTGGATATTTGCAATCTTCACCATGCTGTAGCTGTGGAAGCCTTATGTTGTTACCGGTGCTGATCTGTGAGCCAGGGGTAAACCTCTTTTCGGGACCATACTGGAATTGTTCCTATTCCAGAACTTAAGATTAGTCTTTGGTGAGCAAACCAACTCTTTGACACTCCATGTAAGGCACATTTGTTTTTGAATTGTTTTGGAAACCCTTGCAGTAGTGATTTAAAACTCAATCTGCCAATGTCTAAGGTTTCCAAAAGACCCTTAAAGTTCACACATTAGAAGAAATGTGGAAGTAGAGTTTAGGAAATTAGTTGACCACCCATTTGATTTTGATTTTTTTTTCTGTAAATACATTCTGATGAAGTGCTGCGTCAAATAGAGCGGAAAGCTGATCATTGTTGCATTTCGTTGAATTTACATTTGCACTACAACAAAATACCCTGGTGGTAACACAGTTTTTGTGAAAAAATGTAAAGTAAAGAAAGAAATAAGAGTTCACAATATTAACCCATGATGGATTCGTGGCTGGTTAACGTTGATATATTAACATTTCCGAGCTGGACTTTATAAGTTTTATTTTTTTTCCTGTATACTGAATTGACAAAGAAATAGTAGCAGAGGTTTATATTGATTAGACAAGTACCTTGATATTCACAAAGTAATTTGGATATTTAACAAGGTTTTCCTAAAAGCTGGTCTTCAAATTTTTCAGGACTATTTTTCCAACTGATGTGGAGAGATGATTGTAAGGTAATATTTAAAAAAAGGGATTACTAAATCTGTGTTTGGTGGTCTGAGCTGGTCTTAACTGTGGCAGTAGTTAGGATAAGAGCGTTACCCAGTGGAATTGCTTTTGTAGACTGTATTGATGTTTTAATACTGAGAAACAAGAGGAGTAGCATAAATTGGCTCAACTAACATTCATAGTGTTGCCACCAATTAATTTAGTGCTGCTTCGAATTTGGAATACTTGTCTAAGGGGAGTTTTGTCAGTTTTGTTCTAGTTGGACAGAAAGTGTGTCTTATACGTTTTAGTGTGATGTACTCTTATTTCTTACTGGTGAAAGGTTTGCTTTCGCATTCAGCCTATCATGAGCTGCGCTACTTGGCAGTGGACAAGGAGAAGTTTCCTTGTGGAATCAGAGAATTTGCATCCAAAGAGTGAGGCAACTGCCAAGTAACATTTGCCTCGTGAGCGTCAGACAGGTTGGAGCAAAACCAAAGCAGTTAAAGACTCACTTTTGAAAACTTGATGCTCATAATTCAAAACAAAAGTATGCGAGTGATAGTCCCTAAAATATTAGTCCCCAGGATGATTTGTGTCTCTTGGCTTGCTGTAAGTTTTCAATGATTTGACGGTTGGTTTTTCTTGAAACGTAAATCGTGATTCTCAGTTAGGGGAAAACAGCAAGATGATTGTTGGTATAAAACACATCTGACCTTGCTGTCTCAGTTAAAGCAAATAGAAATCAACCAAAATCCCAAATCATATGAGTGAGCAGTTGAAGTGTATAAAGTTGCAGCTTCTGTAGACTCAAGCAAATTTGAAAGAGATCCACCACATCAGGTTTACCTATTCCTTTGATTCCCTCTCAACCCCAAAAGTGTGGAGAGAATGCCTGGTGGGTTCCCTGACTCACCCTGTCCATTTCCAACAGTCTGACCATGTGGCTGGTTCCACATGACAGTGAATCCTAGAACAAAACCTTTTGAAATGTTGTCCTGCATGTCTGGACAGTTGGATTTTTCAGAGTAGAAGAGACCATTTTTTTTATAATATAGTAGAGATTGGATCTATTTTGCTTAAGTTTAATACTTCAAACCTTTAAAACCATACAAAGTAATCACCTCACCCCAAATCCATGTATTTATGTATGTAATTGAAATGTTTTGAATTAAAACCATATTTTTTTTTGCTGCAAGAGGCAAGATAGCTTGTGAGGAAGCCAGCAATCATAGAAAATGCTGCACCTATCGTCTGCCAAACCCAAATTCAGAGGACAGCATTGAAATTATTTTTAAAATGTTGATTTTAGAGCTTAGTCATTTTAGTTGATAAAGACTCTTCAGGGAAAAGTCAAGTTCTGCCATTGGTTTAATCTTGTTATCACTGAGAGACTGTCATGTTCTTAGTTCCTTTTGCTGCTGTGTTGTGAGGTATCTTACACGATGTACACTCCTCGGATATGATAACCTGGGCATGACACTTGTTTTGGGCCAAATATCATTGATGTAAGGTGGAATTCTGTGTTTTTATGTACGTTTTGATGCTACAGACAGCAGAATTGTACCCTTGCCATGTAAACATAGAATTATTAGATGTACGCGTGCATGCAAGCTGGAATTGTTTTTGCTAACTCATGAAGTAGTCATTCCAGAATTTGTTGCTTTGGCAAGTAGAGAGTCTCTGCCTACAGTAAATACAGAGCCATGAATTCGGGTCAGGCATGTTTTCAAGAAAGATAGGAGTTAGAGATGTTCGATAAACATGCAAGCGCTGTAAACTTTTTCACAGAAAAAGCTTGTAGAAAGTGGTATTATTTGGCATTAATCTGTCTTTGGTGTAAGGGATTTTGAAATATATCTTTATCAGATTTCTTAGCGTTTTTTTCCAGGTTGTTTTTGAATTCAGAAATTGTCACAAGAAAATGGAGACAATGCTTTTTAGCTGGGTTAGAAATTCACGATAAAATGTTAATTTCATTTTAGTTCTTAATGGAATCTTCTTCCTCTTGTTTGTATTTCAAGCTTTGGAAATTGGACATTTAACATTCTAACCATTTTGAAATCAAGACGCTTAACAAACAGGGTCTTAAATATTCCTTTCTTTGCAAGTGGTCATTTTGTTTTCATTTCAGTTACATGTACTCAGAAATGCATGGCCAATCATTGACGTGGTCAGAAAAAAGTGGACAGTCAAAGACATTTTGAAATGAAATAATTTTCAGGAGTGAACCCAATGTGCTTAAAGTTGGCGCAAAACAGAAAAAGGGTTTTCTAAGGTTCTTGCATGCTGCACAAAAATATGAATATATAATGCCATAACTGTATCATAAAGCCTATACATGTACGTGAAAAATGTAATCGTATAAATTTAATCAAGATGCTTATAAGTAAGGCAATTACAACTATAACTCCCCCAGTGATGTTTGTTATCTTCATCTTCATTGAATTGAAGGTTTTACCAGCTTCTTTCAGATGGACAAGAAATGGGAGAAAATTTAAGAAGATTTTGTTTCAACAGTAATATGAAAGAATGGGGATTCTTAAAAGAGGGGTGTGACAATGTTGCAATTATTCAAGATCAGATTTTTGTAACAACCACAATAAAGTGCACATTGTTACTGTTAGAGTGAAAGTTTTCAAGTAATAGATTAATTTCCCCTCTTTGGAAGACATTCTTATCGAGTTACTTTTTCAAACACAATAACAAAAATAAAACAGGACATGATTTGCTTTGAATTTATGGCAAATTCACCAGATCTCTTCAGTTTAATTCCTCTCATATTAAGATATTTATTGCCTGAGGAACAGCCAAGAAACACCACTTAAAGTGATAATTTTCTTATGAATATTCATAACTTTGCCTGAGAAGTCGTTGCTCTTCATTTGTTCTCACATACTACTCCCTTTGGTGTCCATGGTTACTGATAATGTTGCCGTTACTGTCTATATGTACATGTACCCATAACTGTTATTGTACATCTCTCCTTGCGGACTTTGTCAGCTTACGTGTACATTAACTGTTCGCCTCTGTTTGGCGTTGGCAATTAAAACGAAAGGAAAGAAGAAAAAGACAAATCATGCCATAAATCATGTTTGTGTAAATTCACGTTGTGTTTGTTGGTGTGAGACAAAGTTGTGCAAGATTGCCAAAGCTAGGATGGACCGTTTATTAGCTACGCATGCTTCTCATTTTAACCACTTCCTGCTGGGCGTTTTCAAGAACATATGCTTTATATGCAGAGCCGGGGAGCCTGGAACTGGGACAAAAGAGATGGGCCTTATAACAAAAGACTGAGCTGCTGGGTATTATTGACATTTTTTCCCTGTCAGTAGTGGAGATAATCCAGCCTCGTTTTGAAACTGTATACCACGGTTTGAGGCATTTAGAGCGAGTGGATTACCACCGGGGACAAAAGCTTTCCACCACTGCAGTGATGAGCAACGCAGCACTGCTGCACGCTAATCTGGCCCTTATTGAAAAAGAGGTCAGCAGTGCACTGTGTCAGTTTCGGGAACAAAAGAATCTTACGTAACAATGCACACTTTGGGCTCTTTTTCCAAGGCTGCAGGCCTGGCTGAAATATTCAGGAGTCAATGAAGGTTATCTGTCATCTTTAGAGTAGTACCCAAAGAGTCCTTCATGTGGTTATAAACGACCATTAAATGAAATGATGAATTGTGGGAGAATTTTGAAAACGGAAAATGTTGAAGAGGACCCGACATCTTGTCTTGCTCAAGAAAAATCCACCCGGCAGCAAGTGGTTAAGTGACAAATCGCTCAAAATCATAAGACAGGTGCTTTGTAGTGAAGTTGTTGCCCTGTAAGTATTGCAATTTGATAATACATGCAAAAACAAAATATATATTACCAGATTGACTAAAACTTGGAATGGCAGTCATGCAAACACAAACTGGTTGTGGAGACCTCACAAATGCTGCACAATAATGCATCATCATGAGGACAAAATTAACTTTCATGAGTCTTGACAACACTCCAAATTTCTCTAACAATCTTCCAATAATCCATCCTCTTTGGTAAGTTGATGTAAAAGCACTTTGGCATTGATATGCAGGATATTACGGGCTCTTACAAGTACATGTACCATGCCTATGCTGAAACCAACCTCAAGACAAAGGTAAGGGAAATAAGTGGAATGCGCAACAGATCACCAAGGAAACTCAGTTTTACCGTGCCACAAATTATAGCACACTCTTGTTTTAGAATACTTGTACACTGCACCTCCCCAACACATTTAAAGAGTTATCCCGTATGTTCAAAATAATCCAATGCATAAGTCTCTATTTCAATTCAAATTGAGGAGAGAGATCATCTTTGCTGTCTAAACTTTGCCTTGATGAAAAATGTTTCCATCCGATTCTGTTGTGCCTCTGAGAAATAAGCTGGCATGCATAGCCCTTCCTGTATGAACAAAGATGTCACAATCCATGTACAGTGTACATTGGTTGCCATGTATATATTTCAGAATGAGGCAGCTGTGGTAAAGCCTTACGAAGAACATGACAGAATACTGAACAAAACCAATCCAAAGTGACATGTTCTCAGCCACGTGAAATCTCCTTGAGTCATAAATTCTCTCAATAGCTATTGAAAAAATAATTTTGGAACAAAGAAAGACAGTTGCCAGCACCTACCCAGTCCATGACGATTCTTGCAGTCATGCCATGAATGTACATGTAGATGCAGTCATGATCAGTGTTGGTAAAAGCTGTTTCAAACCATTCATGCAACTACCATGTATGCCAGATAAGTTTTTCCACAAAAAGTAAGGAAATACATGTACCAAGCTCTATGAAACTTGGTTCACATTTTTCCATCCCTGATGGCATACAATGCATCAGGAAAGTACTTGTACATGTTACAGAATCAGCTTATCTGAGACAAATCTCAGCGCCTGATGACTGGGTTATTCACTCTACCAATCAAACACGTCTGCACATCTCAGTAGTCCAATCCAAGCCATCTGTTGAACCGCTCACATAGATTATTAAATTTTGTCACCCAATCGTCGCCATCCTGTGGCTCTTCCTCGATGAAATGTGCCCTATTGCACTCCCCATCAATGCCTTGATTTAAGGGGAAGAACGACTCGATGTGGTGACGGCACATGGGACATTTATTCAACAGCGGGAGACAGAAAGAACAAATGCAGGTGTGTCGGCATGGCAACAGTGCTATACTGATCAGGCCATTCTGGCAGACAACGCAACCATGCAATGCATCATTTGCATCCACACTGTCTTCTCCATTACGCACTGAGCTCATTTCTCCAATGCCTGCATTAAGTCTCTCTTCATCTGTGTTAACTCTGTGTGGGAGGGCGCCGTCTACATTACAACTGCTACCGGCAGGCTCTCTTAAATGCTGTGAAGTTTCATTTCCATCGGTGGCCATGAAAAGTTTCTGCAAATGAAAAACTACAACAAATAAGGGGCCATCCCCAAATACTGCCTGATTTCTGAGTCAGAGATGTGTAGTTTACTGTCTCCAACTAAATGTAATTACATTAAAAGGCAGAAAAGCAATTTCACTGTCCACAATTACAATATTATGCACTAAGCTCTGGAGAAGGTAGCATGACAAAAGGCACTTCATTCCATAGAAGTTCGATTCATGCTATAGCAGGTTATTCTTTTTGTTTGTTTATTATTTGGGTTTTTTCCCTTGGTTTTGCACAGAGGGAAGGTAAGATACCCACTGAAACTACCATTGTGGGGATTACACATGTATCGAATGATAATTATTATATCGGGCATTTCACAAAAGTGTGCCTCCAAGAGTTAGCAACGCGTTAGCCAATCACAATGCACAAAATTTGTCGACCCAATGCCCATTTGGAAAGGGTCAACAAATTTTGCGCATTGTGATTGGCCAACACGTTGCAAACTCTTGGAGGCGCACTATTGGGAATCGCCCGTATTGGACACAAATACCAACATGTGCAAAGTTAGAAATTTGTTGTTGAACTTGCATGAACTATAGATAATAATACTTTCTCTACTCATAGCTATTGGGTACCCGAGCAAGCATGTTCCTGAATGCAAATGGCAATGAATACCTCAAACTGATTTTCCACAGAATGTACACAAATCAATACACCTCAGCTCAAGCACAGCACCAATGGAACCTAACAAGGCATGCTCAGAAGTTTCTCCCACTAGCACATAAAGTTACAGTTCCACTCTGAATTGACAGATGTATCTTTTAACCACTGGCTGGCGGGTGGTTTGAAAAATGCAGGGCACATATATAATCAGGACTTTTCCAAGATTTTCAGTTTTCACAATTCTTCCAATATTCATCATTTCAATTAATGGACGTTTACACCCACACAAATAACTGTCTGGTGGCCACTCTAGTCTGACAGACAAAATCTATTGACACCCGAGTATCTCAGCCAGGCCTGTAGCCTTGTAAAAAGAGCCAGATTGTGCGGTGTTGTATACATGTAACTTTCTTTTGTTCACTGACGAACCTGGCACAGTGCACTGCTGACCTCTTTTCAATAGGAGCCAGATTAGTGTGCAGCGGTGCTGTGTGGCTCATCGCTGCGGTGGTGGAGCGCTTTTGTCCCCAGTGGTAATCTGCTCGCTCTAAATGCCCCAAACCGTGGTATAATGTTTCAAAACAAGGCTGGATTATTGCCACTATTGAGAGTGAAAAACGTCGGTAATGCCCAACAGCCTGGTCTTTTGTGCCGAGTACGGTCTTTTGTTACAAGGCCCAGTTCCCTTTGTCCCATTTCGGGTTTCCCGGCTCCATGTATAAAGCCTACATGCTCGGAAACGGGTTCCCGACAGCAAGTGGTTAAGAAGGTCAAAATTCCCTTTTCTAAAACCTGCTATCAATCAATTTAATCCCAAAATGTTTGAGAGAAGTCAAGAAACAAAAATGAAAATTCACACCCTGATGGGCCTCCATACTCTGTATTGCTGTTAAATTCATTAAGTCAGCATTGTTGTGAGTCCACAGCTACACAACTACTTGTGAAGTGCATATGTCCACCAACAATATGTGCAGAACACCAAATGTACCTGACAATTACCCCATGCCATCATAACTCTGAGGCATTTTTGAGACAGCCGGACCCTGTGGAATCCCAACTTTATATGTAGCCAATTATAGCAGGCAAAAGCCTCCCTCACATGCCAGGTGACATCCACTTCACAGCCGAGTTTCACCCAGGTCAGCGCAAGTCAAGTATAGGTCACTTTACAAAGTCCAGTCTAAGGCCAAGTCACATGTTATTGAAATGTACTGTCTCTGTCTTATTTTATGACCAAACTGGTGATTTGGTTAACATGGTGCCTGACAGAAGCAACCATTAAGAGGCAGTCTTTCCAAAAAATGTGCAACGAAATACTGCCACCTTGACTGATATCACCCAAGTACAATCTAAAAGGTTGCCCAAAAGGTTGGATGCACTGGTCCATTTGCTTTTCATCACCTGTAAATCGCAGACTTGACCAGAACTGGAGATGATGAGCTGTGAGATCAGACGACATTCGTCAGAGAACGTTTCATCTGGTAGATGAAGGACATACACCGCTCCAACCTTTAGAAAACCATTCACAGATGTTATTAAATCAAATTGTGCCTTTTGCCACGCTGAAGTTACTCAAACAGTGGTGAACGTAAGCCACGGTAATGCTTTTTTTCTATACCAACTCTAGTGAAATGAGTCACAACTTGTTCAACTCACCACTTGTGGCTGCATATCCATCCAACTGTCTTCTAGCAGGGATCTTACAATGAGACATAGAGGATATTTGTGGCGGGGTGGGGGACCCATACTGGCCAGTATCTGGGTGTCTGTCACACTGTCTGGCAGCAAGAGAGATACTTCTGTCTCGGTACCAGAAGAAAAGCTGTCCAAACAAGTTAGGGATTCATTCTCCACTTTACCATCTTGGAGACATTTTACACTAAACAAAATAGGGCATGGAGAGGCAATCTTTGGAATTTATGCAGAGCTGGCAATTTGTCCTAAACTCGTCAGTGTCTTTGCCTTGGCTAAAGCTGTATTGTGGGGAATATTTCTGTCATGGGAAAATCTGGACAAAGTTCTAACAATGGTGTTTTGCATTTTGCATCATGTACATGTACAAGTATGCAAGTGGTTCCTTCAACTCTGGTACAAATAAGAATGCTCTCTCAGTGAAAAATGTTTTCATTAAGCTACTGTTTAGAATCCCTTCATCGGCTGTTTTGGACAACGGCCAAAACGGCTTTTGGTTCTCCAATTTTTTTTCCAATTTTTGTTTGTTTTTTCTTCTTTTTCCACTTTTTCCCTATTAACCTAACATGACAGCATTCTAAATGGGACTTTGGGCCCTTACTTGTGGTCGGTTTCCCTTCACACCTGGTACACAGACTACAATCTGAAAATGTATGGCAAATCATGACATCATCTGAAGTCACGTGAGAGGCTTACAAAGTTGACAATTTTACAGGCCAGTATCACCGAAACTACAGGTACTAATACGATGAAACTTGGCATGGACACAAATCAAGACGTGTTGATGAGTATTTACTGATATGAAATGCAAAGTGTACAAAGCCAAAGGGGTTTTTCATGAATATTCAACATTTGATAATAGTTAACGTCATGATGACATGGGGATATACCGGTATTTTAGTGTAGGGACCCAAAACGTTATAGGGATAAAGAAAATGTCCCCACAACTCGGTACAAATTTGCCTAACAAATAGAAATGCCTACCCTGTGACTATTGTGAGAGATGTTTTGGCTTGGTCTGAGAGCAAATGTTACTGTAACAATCCTTTAACTGTGGGCCTTGTCACACTTCTCAAACTTGACCCACCCCCTTGCCGAGTTGACCTAGACTACATTAATGCTGAGTATGTTATAAATTACACAAGGAACACATGATATACTGTGTAACCCCTTGACGCCGGGATTCTTTTGACCGCAACTGCTGGGCTGCTGTATGCCCAGTAGGCAAAGCCTTGTCCAGCAGCAGGCCCACATTGAAACCGCAGGTGCATGATGAATAGAATGTATGTGTGGTACACGTATGCACTAATCCTCACACAAAGGCACGGTCTACCAGCGTTAAGGGGTTAAGGGGAATGATTTTCAGTTTTGGCAAGTCCGCCAAAATGAGCAATTAACTTTGTTTCACACAACATCCTCTTTTGTTCTTCCCCGACATGTAGCCAATATGGCACAAAGAAGATCTCTGTACAATGGTATACAACTACCTTGGGCACCGATAACAGTCATTTTGTCCCACCAAGAAAGGGCTCTAAAACAGCTCTGTGTTTGTTACCTAACAAACACAAGTCTAATCTTGAATGAAAACTATCTTTGCTTGGCAGATCACATTCTAGTTTACACACTGTACAAATAGTGCTCATAGGGGCTTCAGTGAATTAACAACCTAGGCATTTCTAAGTAAAGAGGGCATTTTCACATGGTGTCCACACCTTTCAAGGATACATGACAGGATGACTGTGGTACAAGAAATCACTCTGTAGCCTTTGTCCAGCATCACAGAGAAGTCTAAGGCCTCCATCTTGAAGGGCTGTTTGGAGAGAGGAGCACCCAACAGCCCACAACGCATGCAGCTCACTGTCAACCAAGGACTTCACAAGGACTTGGACCCCATCTGTGTAAAAAAATTGAACTTCATGGCCTCTAACACAAAGGGAATCAGTGTAGACTTTAGGTATTGCTGTCCTCCAAGAAATTTATCGACAATAGTTACAAAATATTTACTCAGACCACAAATACCTGTACTTTCAATAGTTGTTGCCTTGTTGGTGCAGGAAAATTTGGGTAGCAAACAATGTATGAAGTTATCTTGATGTTATTTGCTGGCATTAATTTCACTCACTGACACTCACCTCTGAGCGATGCCGAGTCTGGGTTGAGTACTTTGATAGCAAAAGGATTTCTTGCCCCTACTATTGGCAATTCAGGTACAATTGGAGCTAGGGGCTGGGTAAAAGGAGAATTGATGTTCATTCTAGGGGAAAAAAGTCAAGCAGTGTATTACAACCGATGACAAAAAACCCAAAAATAAATACAATGTAGACTCAGCCTGGATCAACTAGACTGTGGTAGAAGAGGTCTCAGAAGAGATGCAAGTGGTTTCTTATCACAATGTCAACCTTGTGAGACATCAAACTGTTTGCAAAACCGAAAATGTGCAATACTGTGTAAACATACAATAAGAATACAACATGAACCATATTAATGGGAGGCTGTATAGTGTTACAGTGAATCAACTGGTCCAGGCTTTAACTAATGTGCCTCATAACTTGACTCAAAAACAAACATACACGTAGAGGATTTTTCTTAGAAGGAAATAAAGTCCGAGATCCATTAGTTGTAGATTGGTCTACACTGTAGTTCCTGTTTCCAATGCAAGAAAGTAGACAGAAAAAAAAGAAACCTGTCTAAACTTCCGCAACAACAGCAACTGCCCAGTCTTCATTAGGCCCATAAAATTTGATTTATTGTTTCTCACCAGGGTTTTTTCAAATTTAGTTGCATTTTTTTCATTATTTATCGTTTTCTGTCATGGAAAAATAATATCCTGTTCACATGCATGAGACCTACATGTATGTGACACCGTCATTAATGATTGTATGCTCGGATGCCGTATGACCATTGGATTGTGACCCATGTGGTTGTTGATTCTGCTGAGGTAAATTAAAGTCCTCCAGGGTGAAAAACCAGGAATTGTGGCTGGACGGACACGTTGTTCAGACATCCCTTGAATTACATGTATTTGGTGCCCGTTCGGGCATGTTTTGACTTCACTGAGTGGGCCTATTGGGTACCCCACTAGGACTGGCTAACAAGGTGCCTGTGGCCTTCGGGTTCCAGACTTTTTGTGTTCAGATGACTGGCAATTGGCATGAATGGGTTTGCCGGAGTGTAACTTTTGATGTTGGGAGTTGGATTTTCCATCAAGTTTCGCCTTTTTTAAACATTGAATAATGAAATTTTTTGATGCGGGGCCAACATCACATGCGGGTGCTGACGATAAACAATAACGTTAATAGGCCTAGCCTAGCTCTACGAAGTGGAGCGTTAGTATTCCTCTTTTACGATTTTGGACGGGATTGTCATACACGTACTAACGTTCCACGACATTACATAGAGTAAGGTGAAAACAGTTCTCAAAAATTCTAAAGACTCACCAAAAATACCTGTATCACCACCTCCTGGCTTCCGTAAATGGCAACGTCAAATGATTGGAGCTTGAATAATATTTCTGAATTAAAAATCTGTCAAAATCCGACCATTTTGCTCAACACTAGCACAGCACTTAAACTTTTCGCTGCCTCCTCGCATTCAAATACAGGCACATACATGTAGCTTTTCTTGCCAATACTTCCACAAGCGAACATGGTCCCCCAAAGACGTATGCATGAGCGTGTTTTACGTGGCCTGGACACAAGACTTGCTGATCGTAACCTTTGTGGTCCCTACCAACGACTGCTTCATGGTGCCTAATGCATTGCACGTGCAGTGAACAGGGGCTTGCCGGATTTTGACAGATTTTGAAGTCAGAAATATTATGGAAGTCTCAACCGTTTGACGTTGGCATTTACAGAAGCCAGAAGGCGGTAATAGAGATATTTTTGGTGAGTCTTTGGAATTTTGAGAACCGTTTTCCCTTACTCTATGTAATGTCGTGGAGCGTTAGTATGACAATCCCGTCCAAAATCGTAAAAGAGGAATACTAAAGCTCCACTTAGTAGAGCTTGGCCAAGGCCTAGGCTTGTATCTAATTTTATTGGCCGTACATCCGGTAATGGTTCATGTATGTCTGCATGGTCTGGGCTAACAAAAACCATGGCATGCGTATGCATAGCCCCACTAGTGTCGCACGGACTATCACTCCCGATCTATCCTTAGCCACACATCCGTATACGCAATTTTGAGTCGGCGTATTGAACATTCCGGCACACCCACTTATCATCGTGGGCGCAATTTCTTTTGCACATGAACATGATTCTTGACCTTTCTGCTTTCTAAAAACAGACATATGTAATACACGGACTGAGCGATAAGACATATGTAATTTACAGACTGAGCGATAAGACACTACATGTGCCAATGGGCTCTTCCAAAACTTTGGAAATTGCACTCACGATGATAAGTGGGTGCACCGGAATGTTCAATACGCCGACACGAAATTGCGTATACCTGTGTGGCTAAGGATGAATCGAGAGTGAGAGTCCGTGCCACACTAGTGGGCTAGCGTATGCACAAACCTTGGAAATAGCAACAGAGCTGTAACAACACAAGCGAGTACAACACAAAGACAGAACGTTGCTGAAACATCCTCTGCTTCTGTGAGAAACAATTCTTCAGGATTCATACTGTAACGTGAAGAGTGAGGCTCAGATTGGCAAGAACATCAATGTTTCGCACAACTTCTCAAGCTCACTACCGTACGTCCAGGCGTCAAAACAAGGCAGCAAATTCAGTCAGACGGGTAGATGCACACACGGATTCAATTTACAACAGTAGTAGACAGGGCATACGACTGAAGGTGACACGAGGTCAATAGGTCAAGACCACAATGCGGGGAATCCCCTTAATTTATGACTGAATCGCTTCCGCAAGGAGTTCACTCGCTTTGCAGTGCAGCTTCCATCTGATTTATGTTCTGTTGCGGGGCCATGGGAAGACGCACCCACCGTAAAAGTTCTCTTTGGGTGGGGCTGTTATTTCATTGGAACAATAATAACTTTTAACATTTCCCCACCAAATACATTTGCATAAATAGCACTCTGCCTCTCCAATGTAAATAAAAATTCACCCAGTAAAACATACCATGTAATAAATTTCCAATCACCCAAGGACCCTCGGGAGTAAACAAACCCAATTGCGGGGTTTTAAAAGAATTTGTTTTCTGGTTACAAGACTTGTAAATCCGAGCCTACTTGAAGGAATGATGGAAAAGAAGGTTGATTTTGTCATGTAGATGTTTTCATTCGAGGATTAATCTTTTTTTCTAATTTGCTTTTTTGCAAGGCCAAGCACGATTGATGGAACATCCTATGAGACCTACGTACTTATATATAATTAGGCCTATATATGTTTTTGGAGAGGGTTACGGTTTTCTAGAGGAACATTCAATGTGTTCGTTTGCCAGGTTCAAGTAACAAAAAAGCTCTCTATAATCCACTCCTAAGTCTGAAAAGTGGAGTACAACTTCTCAAGTGGGAGCCTGCCAGTGTGCTTCAACTACATTCCCTAGGTGAAGGGATAACAAAAGACGACAAAAGACTAAAAAAAAAACCACCCAACTGATCTGACAACCACACGTACTGAACCCCCACGAAGTGACATTACATAGGCCACAATGGCGCTAGTGTCGGCAATCAGTTTTTAAATTGATAGGCAGGTAATTATTTCATTCAGCACAATTATAAAATGACCTTACTGGTCTACCCTATTTCCCTCAACGGAACATTCTAATAAATTCACTACGATGGTACCACGCACGTATGTATACGTATACACCAGCTTATCGCAGAAAATGAATTCTACCGACGAAAAGAAAATAGCAGCGGAAATTGAAATAAACTATGGTTAAGACATAAAAAGCACAGCAGAAAAGTGACATTCAGGGGGGCATCTGGCTTTAGTACGGTCCGAGGTGGGTTTGGGTATTGTTTATATGGGGTTGTGTAAGGCAAACCGAAGGCATCACCAAAAAATCTTCAAATCTGTAGATGAAGGTGATTTGAAAATATAATCAGGCACTGTAGCATTTTATTTATTATCTTGGACCCAGAATCGTGGCATTATAGGTGTCGGTGGAGGGGTAAGGGAGGAGCTTTCCATCTTGAAACAAAACAAAAACAAAAAACCAAACAAAATGAAAGGGGTAAAAAAGGATGAAAATCACCAAATTAATTGGGAAAAAAAGCACTTCAAATTGACCCACTCCCACTGCTAATGGTTTCTCAGTTCATAGCTGAGGAGTCCTTTTCCCCGGGAAATTCTTTTCCAGGAAAAAAAGTTGTCCCCCCCCCAAGAAAATGCCGGTATCGCCCTTGGTCCCAACTCCATATCCCATGGCCCCCACTCGTAAGGCAATCATTATACATTTACTTACCTGCTGCTCAGTACCATTAGTCCATGGTTGAGACATGCCTACAATTAGATTTGAAATACAACTTGAACGAAAAGATATCTACAGGCATTTAGTTTACTTCATAAAAAAAGGGAATGTGGGCCTACTCCGGGTTATGAGCCGTCCACCAGTTAATCCTCTTGTGCTCAAACTACCACATTCCACACTGGGGTTGACATTATCTTCCGTATTACCCCACACCAACGGCATTTCACCAATGCATTTTTTGCACCCGTGTTACCCAGCAATTATTCACTCAATTCTTCAAGGAATCTTCTCGAACATTGTTGGTGCATTTCGTCGCATCGGTGCACAGTGCGCACTCAGTTTTGAAATATTCCGCAAATGCAGTTATACTGCAGTTGTACTATTCCACAAATGCGGCATTTTTAATTCTTGATGATGAGACTGGATTGTGAAGTAGTTACAAATGGTTCAGGAATCTCGGATGGAATGCTCAACGGTGTTTTCAAGCAATATTTGCCTTTTGCACGGCAAGGATTGATCCCAACTTCAAGTTTCATCAAAAGTCTGTGTTCAATTCCGAATTTCGTCTTAAGTTCAGCTTTTGGAAAAATAAGAACAGAGAAGAAATTTTTAAAATCACAGATATTACTTTTGGAAAACTTGCGTGGAATCGGTTTAAAACAGGTAATTTACTGACAGAAATCCAGAGTTTAACATTTATATCGAAATTACTCGAAAATGAGCATTTTTAGGGCTGTAGCTAGAAATTCGTACCAAAGGAAGCTGTTCAATCTTAAATGATAAATTGCGGTATTAAACAAAAGTAAAAACAGACAAAATGAGGGGGGTCTGAACTTATACACTTTAACGTTAGCGGCCTTGTCCGAGTCGTAAAGAGCAATACTAGCTTTAATTATAATGCATTATTATAGTTTGATATATTCAGAGTGCGTGAAATCTGATGAAAGTGCTTTATTCAGCACAGAGTGGGTAAATAATTCATCATGTGACAATCACACTGAATACACGTCTTGGGTTGTAAAGTTATAAGTCATTAACAGCTTAACTTTAATGAACCTTATTGGGGTTAAAGTGTCAGCACAGGGGTCAGAAGAAGAAAGTCCTTTTATTCCTCCCCTATCCCATATTTCACCAGAACTGTTTTTATAATATTACATTTAGCATTAAACATAAAAGTTCAAGGTAAGAACCCGTGAATTTAAATAGACTACAATAAACAAGAAAAATGCCTTGTTGCTAATCCACAGTCAATGTTTCGGCAGTGCAGTGCTACTGCAGGCGATTTTAATTGTAAATGTTTTGGTTTCGGTTGGGAGCAAACAGGAAACATATCCCTTACAACTGACTTAATGATTCTAAAGCTTCCACCTTGAACAATTAGATTTCTACAGTTAGAACACTAAATCTAAATTCTCTCTTCGAGATGTATCCGTGAACTGCAGCAGTCATATCGGGAGCTTCTGGTCAACTTGGACATTCCCCGACCGTGTACCGGACCGCCGCAGCGCCCCGTATGCAAAAACTCTGTCACCCTCGCTATGCGTTTTCAACACCCCCTCTATAACAGAATGATACAGCCCAGAATACGGGCGCGGCCATATTTGGGGAATTCACTTCCTTTACAGCAAATGGGACCTACTCACTAAATGTGGCATTTAAAATTGATTCGCCATTCATAATCTATGGTTAAAAAATACAGTCATGAAATGAAATAATTTCCAAACGTTTCATGAATGTATCAGGTAATATACAGAAAGGGATATTTTAAACAATGTGTCTGGGTGATAGGCTACTAATGGATTATGATATCACTAGGTAATCTATTTTGTTATGCGAACGTTCACCTTAGAGCGTGCTTCGGCATTACCTTTTTAAGACAGAAGAAATCTACATTTGGGCAGCGGATATTCCCGGGAATTCTCAAAACAATTTTGAGCATGAAAAGAGGAGCACAGAGTTCCGCAGAAGGAGCAATGAATACCGTAAACTACCTGGCTCAACATAGCCTGCCAAATAATGGACCAAGTGTGTCAGGCTTTGTCAACGGGGACAAGCGGCCTGGGTCTGAGATGGAAGGGGGTGGATTCACACAGTTTAACCCCCAGCTTGAGATTGACGAGGCAGAGCACGACGACTTGTCGGACGACGACAGCGATGCTGGTAGCCCGAGCGCAAAGAAGTCCAAAAAGACCAAAGGAAGGGTCAAGATTAAGATGGAATTTATTGAAAACAAGCTCCGAAGATACACTACATTCAGCAAGAGAAAGACGGGGATCATGAAAAAGGTATTATAAAACCTTTTCAATTTCAGAGTGGTGGGCAAAGTGTGAAAGTTGTGTTCAATCAGTCATGTCAGTTGTCAATCAATGATCAACATGATCAACCTAGGGCCCAGCATTGCCCAGAGACCCAAGTTCATTTTTAATCTGTGACCGTATTTTTCTGGGGAGGGGGTAACAGCGAAAGGCTAGACTTTGTCGGTTTTATTTTATTTCAAGGACACATACTTTTTCATTTCTCCATGATGTGTGATACAGAGATTAAGTACATGTACCCGCATGACCTGTACAATTATTAATATGGTCAATGTAGTTAATATGGTATGTAGACTTAGCCTACATTCAAGAATGGAACTTCCTGTACCGTTCAAACATTTTTTTATAAAACTTTTTTCTAATACTATAGGCCTACTACATACAAGGAATACACCATTTAAATTTTGAACTGTTGATTTCTAAAAGATATGTGTATATGGGAAAATTGATGCAAAACTTAGTAATGTACATGTAAATACAGATTGGAAATAAGAGAGGATGTTTATCCTTTGTGCTTAAGTTTTTGTGGTTTTTCTGCTTTGTGGCAGAGTTACCAGGATATGTACATATATGCATGTACATGTACATAATGCAAGCTAAGAAGAGAAATAAGGAATGTACACGTTTCTGTATGTGGGTGAGTCTTAAGAGAGGAGGAAAAACGTGTGTAAGATGGAAAATATGTAGGTTGTGGTAAATCAAAGGCATGCTTGCATGGATAACATGTATACGCAGGCACTTACACATGTATGTACCGGTACATGCCAGAATCAGTAGCCAGGAGCAATACCATGTATGTTGCACATAATGTGTACATGTACCAGTACGTGTACATTGTGCCTGCTGACTGCCCCAAAAGTGATCAAGTGAACATGTACATGTAGTATCGGCTAGCATCATTCCCTCTGATTGCTCATTTTAGGCTTACGAGTTGTCAACGCTGACTGGCACCCAGGTCATGCTTTTGGTTGCCAGCGAAACAGGCCATGTATACACATTTGCCACACGCAAACTGCAGCCCATGATAACCAGCGAGAGCGGCAAGGCGCTGATCCAGACCTGCCTGAATTCCCCCGACCCAGCCACCACGCACCACAGCCACAATCCCGATCAGAGGATGAGTGCTACGGGCTTTGAGGAAACAGAGCTGACCTATCAGGTGTCTGAGGAGGAACTAGCCAAGGTTTGTCAATCTTACAAAAACTGATATGTACAGTAGATGTCGTTTCCATAGAATTCAAGCTGCGGGGAACCTACTGAATACTAGAGACACAGGGATGCTGGACTGGTCCCTTCTGAAGTCATATTAAATCCACAAACAGCCTGTGTCATCCCCATACATGTACATGTTATGGAGTGTTTGGTCCAGCACATGCTACAATGTACACTCAACATGATAAAAAACAATCAAAGCACCATCAAAACCAAACAAGAAACAGCAAAAAAACCAAAAGTTTCAGGGTTTCTTATTGACTCATGACATTTCAATTAGAAATTTATTGTTGTTTCCATAAGTATGTTGCCTTTAAGAATATTGTTCTCAACAAAAGTTTAAAGATGCAGATTTGTAAATATCGTTCTGATTACAGTTATCCAAGTAAAGACTTGTGTTGCACCTGAAAAATGCATGCACATTTGACGAATTGTATGCTGTGCCATTGTATGATTCAGATGTAAACTTGAATAACAGCAAGACAAGGGTCTACAGCATTGTGTTGGATTGCCTCACAGTTTACTACACGTACATGTGTCCATGTATATAGAGACTCCATTCAGAAAGTTCATGGGGTTGCCATCTGCCATATAAGGGCCATCTCACCCTCCTGACCTGCCGTGTTTAGATGCTGACATTCCATATAAGATTCCTGGGCCCTGCCTCCTGTGTAGGTGCCCCAGGAAGCTGGCACGTGCCCAGCCCTTTCTTAAAGGGTAAAACACTTCCATATATGGAAAGTACTTGGCAGCAGGCTCTCTCCGTCAGTGGAGGTGATGTATGTGGCAACACAGCTGTGGGGCCTGTTTTTGTTTAAGGGCATGTGACACACGTGGCTTGGCTGCTTTGGCTAAAGCATTGTCCAGAGTTGGCCCTAACTGATGAATGACTAGACCAATGTTCTGGAGTGTCAGGATTGGAAATGGACATTCACAGTTTAAACATAAGATGGCCAGGAGATACATGTTCATGTAAACATGTATAGTGTCAAAAAAATGTGTATTACATGTAGCCTACACATGTTGATGGTGGGGATGTAATCCAACCATGGTCCAACAATTTTTAGGTTGGGGAACTTGGGAGTATCCATACATACATTTACATTTACGGTTTTTAGCCTTCTATACTTGTCTGTGAACATCAGGGAATATATGTTCCATTCAAAAAGTCTGAAACTACCACACAATGTGCAATGCACAGATTTGTACATGTACAAGTACACTGTACACATGTACTGGGACTTGTTCCATAGTTGTGGGGACAAACACGATATTTCACCTATTTTGTGGGGACTGAATACATTACGGGGACAGAGAAATATCTCCACAACTCGGGCCTAATTTGCTTAACAAAAGAAATTGTCCCCTTAACCCATTCTTCAGTGAATGTTCAAGCTCGTATTTAGAACATGTAATGACGTGACTAAATTTCAGTTAAATGAAAAGATCAGTTTAGTAGAAATCCTGTAACTTTCAAAACATACTACATGTATACAAACACCCCGTAGAACATGTACATGTATACATGTTCTAGTACCGACCTGTAGCACAACTGTGGGAATTTTTGGTTACGTGTTAAGTATGTGCCAAACTTCCTGGTATGAAATTCTAGAGAAGGAAATCGATTTACGTTGTTGATTGCACATATTGATACTGTACAAAAATTGCACCTACAGCAAATGACATCATCCTATGGATTATAATGACAAGTTGCAGCATTGCTGGTGTGTTAAACACCCTGAATACATTTTTTCAACGTTTACATCAGCTTCCTTTTAAAAAAATATCTCATTATTAGTGGTGTGCACAATCACATGGCATGTCTTTCTGAACAACATATGGTACTGTAATGTTGGTACTGAGTGTCTCAATTAAATAGTTGTCAAACTAATGAGTTTGTCTTTCTTCTCAATAACAAAGTAACCAGTGTTCAAACTACCGGTACTGGTAGACGATCTCTGGGTGTCAACTGCTGTCACCATGGAGGAATGACAGCAATGCTTGTCACTGTGCACACATGCCCTGTGATCAGCATTTTGTTCATTCTTTTAAGAATTCTTGCTAAGGCAATGTCCTGTATTTTCAAGTTTTCAAAGATGTGCTGTACATGTGTAGTAAAATGCTGTTTCATCATTGCTGTCTTCATTGGATACTTGCAAAGGATGTACAGTACATGTACTGCCAACCATTGTGCATTTTCTTTATTTCCTGCTGAACGTTTCTCCACACTTTGTGTTTGACACATACATGTACATGTACTGTAAATGGTAACATGTCAGTTTCCACTTTTAAGCATTTCTGACACGGCACCCTTGGACAAACCCTTACGTTCAGGAAACACATTGAGGGGAAGTGAGTGGGACTAGTCAGTAGTGGGAGACTACAGAGCTTCCGATTGAATCACCCGTCCTCGAAAGGTTCAGAATTTCAATTTGCATGTTAATAAAGTGCTTTTTTGTGGAAACATTACTTTTAGTCAACATCTTTGGCTAAAAACTGTACCACTCTGTGTCCATTTGCTTTCTTTATTAACCATTCAATTAAAATTTTGGTTTATTTGTTCTAGAGTTGACAATCACTTGTTGACAATTAAAAAAGAATTAAAAACAAAAAGAAACTGCTGGTTACATTTGTTTTGTATATTGATACCTTTCTTTTTGCTCCTAAGAACTTGGTTAATAATACATGTTCTGTGTATGTACATTGTATTTTCAAGCACAGGAATATTTGTTAAGTACTGTAAGCTTTGAGAGGTCTGACTTACACTGTAAGTTACAGTGTACATGTCCAAACAAACATGCATGCAGTTGTTTAAAGATGCATTAGCTAGGATACCTTTATTTACGAGATTGGTATGCACAGTAGTTGGTGTAGAAGTATCGTACAAGAAAAATAATGCAGGACTTTCCATCTGCTGTGAATGAATCTGAACTTTCTAAACAATGTTGCATGAACGAGGTCCATGCATCAGGTGGATCATTCCATTGTACAGAGAGGGGTCATCCATTTCAGTCTTCAGCCATGGGCAATTGCACTGGAGCAATAAGCCCTGAGAATTTTGTAATCCACAAGGGCACAGGATGTGCCACTGTGCACATACCGGAAAACCAAAGAAGAATGATGTCATGTACTATAAATAGTTTCAACCTCAAGTGTAAACTGGCCAGCTGAGCAAGGCATGTGTGGTATTCTAGTGTGACCAAACTGTTGCCATTGACGTCAAGCAGCTGGCCAATCATGTTCAGTGGATGGCATTGGCAGCATAACTGGCGGGGTAGAGGACCAGGGCAGGGCTAAAAACAGTCAGTCAGCCCCAAAACTTCCAGAGCTTTCTTTGGTTATGCTAATGAGCCTTGGCCATTTATGCTGGTGACCATTCACAAAATATGCCAGATATTCTAATGTGTTGTCCAAGTATGGACGGTTGTCGCCTTAAATGGATGAGACGAAAGCATTCCAGAGGTGGACTGGACACACATTGTTGTCTTCGGACCGTCATTGGTATGCCATTCCTCGGAACTAGACAAGATTCGTTACCCAATGTGACGCATACATGTACCGGGGTATACATGTACCAGTGTACACGTGTGCATACATGTAAATGTACATGTACCGGTACATGCACAGTGTACATGTATGTGTGTGCAAGGAAATGTCAGACCGTGGTTAGACATGTACATGTACATCGTAACCCTACCGGTACAGTAAATGTTTTAACTTTTATGATGTATTTTGATGATTTTAAAATGAGAGCATTTAAAGCATTTGGCCTGCTGTTAATAGTTCTGAGGTGTACATGTACGTACATTGTACAAAAACCGGTAATGTAAAGTGATAATGTAAAGTCTCACTCAGATAGAGATAGACATTTTATTATGTTTCATGTCCAATGTACACCCCCTTGTCAAAGATACAGGGTACTGTACTGTACATCTTTCATTGCGGTACACTCACTTTTGCAGATACCTGTAAAGGATGTACAACTGTATGTACATGTGTACTTGATTCTCTCAACAAGCGTCTTTTCAAATCAAGGTGGGAGGGAATGGCTTCGAGGTTGTGAAGCAGTGCCTTCGTAGTGAATACTAAAGATACATATACTCGCCAGCCTGTCTTTATGAACATTGTCATTATGCCGGTCCTAATTTGGATTCATGCACCAGTACAGTGCAAATGAGCAACATTGGAGCCTTAATAAAACACTACATGTACTGTTTCATGTATTAAACCAGACACACCTGTAAACATTCATCGTGCACTGAGAATGTCTATTAGATTGGAATGGCATGAATGGCATTGACCATGTCTAGGTTCCAACTTACAAGCTTGTTCATGTACATGTATGTACATGTAGTTTAGTTGTGAGCCTGCACCTGCAAAAACCAGTAACCAGGCTTCAAATCCATGGCAGTGGTATTTACATGTACCAGTACAGTGGAACGTTGCTATAACGAGCGCGACAGGGTCCACGCTAAATGTTCGGTACACCGGTCGTTCGGTATAGCGAAATTACATGTAACTGCCCGAGTGTTTCATTGCCATGTTTAATAGCGCCCTCTCTTGTCTAACTGAAGTGCACCCTCTTGTGATACATGTACGTGTACTATGATTCGCTGTTTTCGTGATGTTTTGCCGTTGCTTTCACGTTTGAGGTTTCTAGAAGTGTCAGTGTATCTGTTAATTATTTTTGTTTTTTATTAAATCTTGAGTTACAAAATTGATACTTAGTTTATCCTAAAACTCATGAAGCTACCGCTCAGGATCAATCTCTGATGCATGCTGTGGCAAATCTCGGTTGATTTGCAACTGCATAATGTTTGGTAGGTTTCTGCACAAAATATTTGGAGCCAAGGATGATGTTCGGTACAGCCGAATGTTCGGTATAGCGACGTTCCACTGTCACGACTGTACAATATACATGATGATTGAAAGGAGTTTCTGAGTTACCGGTAGCATTAAGTGCTCTTACTGCTTCTCACATAACACATGTTGAATTGGTGAGAAATGTGGAATCAGGAAACTATTATGAACAGGCCTTGCGCTAACTTTTTTTCCTGGCTAGCCCACTGGGCTAGTTAACTGGATAATTTACTAGCCCGTTCAGAGTTTTACTAGTCCGTATATATACATGTAGAATACCGGTATTTAAAAAACCCAAAATTTGCTTTCAGCTCACCAATAAAGAATTGGACATTTCGGAAAATAAAAGGCTGATGTTATAAATAAGAAGGCATGTATGTTTAGTTAAACATCGCTTGAGTCATTGGTAATGGAGTCGGGAACAAAATCACCTCTTTGCTCCATCTTTCCCCACATTTGGGTTGCTTACGTTAGGCAAAACTGCCACTTTTTGCGTACTTTCTGATATTTATATTGATATATTGATTTATATTGAATACATGTATTTATTTTGATCTAAGTTTTAACAGATAGGCTTATTCTGAATTTTTCACTGGCCCACTGGGCAACCAAAAAACAAAGTTTAGGTAGCCCGGAGCATTTTTAGCTGGATTTTGTACGCTGAGCTACATGTAGTACTATTTCGAGGCCTGATGAAAGATCCAGCCTTGTAGAGTGCATTTTTGGCAAGAGACATACTGTACTGGTATATTTTATGAAGTGAGTTCCAAGTTCTTCTTCAAAAATAGCAAATTTAGCAAGTTTCTGTTACATTTTTAACAAGAGAAAATTGTTGTTATTGTTCTTGATAGCAAGAGGGCAAAACACCGATGTTTACAGTCACCAATGTGCCAGGCGCTGGAGTCGATGTGTCTTCTACAGGTGTAGCATCAACACAGTCAGGTAACCAGACATGATGGCTCTACGACAGCTGTGTTGCCATCTTTGTGTGTCATCTTGGTAGCCATCTTTATGTGTCACCTTGGTAGGGACATTGTTCCTTCATTTGTTTTGGGCTGGTAGGAAAAGTTGCAGTCTTCAGGCATCTCTGTACATGCACACGCACTGACTACTTAAGGGAAAGGCATACATGTACATGTAAGCGCAGTGAATTCGAGGTTGGAAACATCTTAGCAGTAGGTTACATTGTAAAATTCACTCAAGTTGGCATGTGTTCAACTTTTGAGAATTCACACTAAAATTATTAGATCTGACATCCCTAATTTGTGTTTTTTTTGCTTCTACAGTGTATGTGTATTATTAACCTACATTTAGCCACCAATGCTCAGTTTGTATACTGAAGTACATGTACATGTATAAAACCCTATACAAAGACCTACATGTACATGTACGGTATTCATCATTTTAATTGGTTCACTTTTTTTTGTTAACCTGCAGGATTGGATGTAGGTTGCTTGAGTGTTTTATGACCTGAAATTACAATTGGCTTGGGCGGTATTTCGGAACGCCGCATTTTTTTTTTTTAATACTGAACACTACTGACTAACAATCCATGACTGCCGGAATACCAGCTAATTTAGTATTGAATTCCAATACTGCGTTATAATTCAGGCTTATTTGTTCAGAATGTTCCCACAACCCTCATAAGATGAAAGCAGACAATTATATCCACAACAGTGACTGCATACTTTGTGGTCTCAGTCACCCACCATCATGTTTGTATTGTCTCTTTTGGTGAGGAGATATAACGTAATGTGATACTTCAGCATGCAGCCACCAACCCACCTGTCAAAAGGTTTAGTTTCCCTGTTGCTGCCGTGGAGTTTGCGGGTTTGGAATGACTTGTAGGCAGTGCTTGTTGTATTGCTCACCGGCACATATCACAGCCTTACACTGGACTTGGGAAGTAAAAATTAGTGGGTCGTCCGTGTCCGCACTGGACTTTATTTTCTGAAGACTTTTATTTGTACATCAGAAAATGCGAATGCTGCTTGTGCTAGCCTTGTGCTCTCTTTGGGTCTTTTTGTCCTTCATATACAACATGTACAAGTACATGTATAACATTATTTTAATCTGTCTAACCGAAGCTAGGAATAAACTATAAACTGATAAAATGATTCCATAAATCTGCATCTGTTCGACATCCATGGCAATCAGTGACCATTTTTTATTATTCTCACATTCGTTCCAACCACACGAAAAGAGAAGCAAAAATCCGATTCCTCACTTGTCACTGTTTGTACATGTATTTCAGTTTGTCTGGAATAAATCGAGGACAACATGGTTCATCAAAACGGTCTCTCGGTTATGATTAATCAAATACCAAACATGTATGTTAAGAATGATAAACTTCACTGTCATAGGACAACATGTTTAATGTGCATGTGAAATAAAAAAAAACCAAATATATGTGAAAGCATCGATCCAGGGATTTTCAAACGACTTTCAATTGCCATGGATGACGACAAAGCTAACAATAACTAACCTGCATGCAGGTGACCACACAGATAGGAATCACGGAGCAACAAATCGGTATTTAAAACACCATCGGTTTTTGAAATTCTTTCACATACATGTAAATAATATTTATTTGACATTAATGGACAGATAAATTATAGTACTTATTAAGTTTAGGGGTTTTGTGACGTTAAAAACCCCTTTATGCTAGCATAAGCTGGCCCCTAGTTTTGTTTGTGTTTTGCCATTGAATGTCAGCATCACCGCTACTTTTTGATGACGTCATTGCCTTCTGCAATGAATACCGCGGTATTAGTAAATACCATGGTATTTTTTTCACTGATACCGCGGCATCGAAAAAGGCAATACCGCCCAAGCCTAAATTACATGCTTGTAGCTGCCATTTGCAATATACAGAGGTTGGACATGTGCACAGAATTGTACCAACATTGATATACATGTACATGTACTGCAGACGTACACAACCATCCACGTGTAACACAGAATCTGATGTTACCCCAAACTCGTTTGTCTTTTGTCTGCATTGTCCAGGGTTGTCCATTTCTGGTGCAGGCCACACCTATCCCATGACCACCTATCTGCCTACGGGCTCCAGTGGCGTATCCACGGCAGGCCCCAGCAAGCCCTTGGGAATGTCAGCGAGTGATATGCTCTCACAAGGTGGCTTCACAACGATACTGCCACAAGGTACTGTACGTGAACAATAAGCCAGTCAGGGTGCGAGATGAAGTGCTGTCAATTCTAAACAGCAGCCACTGATGGCTTACCCCCAGCAGTGGTACAAAATAACTTCACCCTGGACGGCTTGGATAATAATTCAGCAAACAAGTAGTGATCTTGATACTCCTGAGTGGCTGTTGGTCCTGGCTGATTAGTCACACTCTTGCAAGAAAAAATATGGTTTTAAATGATGATGTTGCTGGAGTAGTAAATAAACATTCTGAACAGTAAAAGACAAACTCTTCAAAATGAACACAGAAAGGCTCAAGTGCCAAATAATTTTACAGCGTTGCCTGAAGATTGTTCAAAAATGAGAATGCTGCAAGTGAAACTGGGCTCAAAAAGTTAACATTGAGATTTTGGAATGCAGTCTCATTGTGGGTTCACCTGGGTGGCTTGTCTAACACAAGACTGGACTGGGAAGAGTATCTTGCAAAGATAATCAGGCACAACACAATGGAAGTCCTATAAACTTACAGCTTACTGTAGTCGTTACATGTACAAAACACACTGGGAAACTGTCAAACATGTAGTGTCGTTGCTGAAAAGCAAGCTTGAAAAGTGTAAGGATTTTATGAACAATACAAAGAGCTCCGTCCTGAAGTTTTTGAACTTAGTGAGGGTATGGTTGGAGCCCCAGATCATATAGTATATAATTAATACACTGTGTTCTGGTATTACATGTATGTAAAAATGAAGGCATTGTAACCTACATGTATAATGAGAGCTGATGTACGGTAGTCTGCCAAGACCTAGAACACTTTTGTCGTAGAAAATGCCGAAGTCCTGCCTGGGTTTGGAATGGATGGCCAAACCTTGCCAGGTCCATGCCGTATTGGCACGAGACTGTGTGGCAGTAGTATTCATGAACAAGTACATGTACTCCCTTGGTGGCTACAGAGAGATCATGCACAGTACGTGTACCAACACTTCAACAGCATATCCTATGCTGTACATGTACATGGTAGATAGTATGCATGTACATGTACTTTGTACTCAGCACCTACCCTGAGACCCTGTGGATTTGCACACTTTCAGCTCAAATGTGCTTCCCCGCCTTGCACCTGTGAAACAAATCCAGACATGCGGTATTTCAGCCCCAAGTGATGTCAGGTTTTTATCAAGTACCGAGTACTTGACTTCATCTCCATTCCAGCTCTGCTGAACTTTGATGTTGTTTTATGTACATGTACCTGTCATGTAACATAATGAAAAGTCATTGTTTCCAGAGCATTAAACTACATGTACATGTACATGCTGTGAAATCAAGATTAATTTGAACAAGATTAATTTGAACACGATGAGCCTACATGTACATGTATGTCATGTATGTACAGTACATGTACATGTACATGTACGTACTGTACTTGTATTTATACATTGAACACCCTGTTTAAGAGAGAAACTCTAAACAAACTACCGTAACAAAGCGAAGTATTGGACCCTTCATCGCACCATTCTGGGATACCCTCTGTTGTGTACTAATAGAGTTGGTGGCAGGCAGAATGGGTACCACACTCAGATAGTTACTGCACCGGTACGTACATGTACATGTATGTACCGGTACGTTGTATACAGTACATGTACATTGTATGCGTTTCATCTCTTTCATTGATTTGTCATTTGAACCTGGCTTGCAAAGACTCGTATCAAGACAAATCTGAATGAGTTGTGTTCATGCACCCAGGCACCAGCTTGCCTGCTGGGACCTCTATTCCCGCTGGAGTACTGCAGCTGCCTCAAGGCCAAGGTCAAGGGTCACCATCAGCCAATCAGCCAATCCAACCGCCGCATTTCTTGTATAGGTAAGATTTGGTTATGTTGAAGATTGGATTTGTCACAAATGGTAGAATTACATATATCATTGTGAGAGTACGTCCTAGCTAGATTCAAATTTAGCCTTTCTAGGCCAGAAAATCTAACAGAACCTGACTCTTTGTATTCTTTGATTCAAAATGGTTGACAGGGTGGATAAGTTGAAGCCATGGAAGCCCGAATGTGATGTGCTTTGCGAAAACCTTTCACATGGTGAGCTTTGTCATTTTGGTGCATACCAGCTTCAAATTGATCTGGACACAGCCCTGTTTTTAAACTGCTTAATTTGTGATTGTAGACAACCTACATGTAGATTGATGTTGTAGACAACCTAGAATTATGCATGTAAATGTAGTAACTCTGAAAACAAAAGCGTGTCCATATTAATTTAAAGGTTGCATATACATGCACCATAATGACAAAGCACACTATGTGAAGGTTTTTCACAGATTATATCACAAATTACCTGTACATGTAAATGTACAACATTATCAAGGAAGAAGTTACATTTACTTGAAACTATTGACATTTGAAATTAACATACTGGTAATATGAATATTTATGTGTGTGCAATGAGAATATGCTACAGTTACAATAACCCCTAAAGTATTGCTTGATTAGGCCTCATGTACGAGTTTCTCTAACATGCTCTTGGGATTGAAAGTTTGAGGTTGATTCTTCTGATTTTCAGCTGCACATAAATACAGGTATATACATGTACATGTACTGGTACGACAAGTCTTAAAACTCACATTTTTTTGGTGGCTGTCCTTTAGTCAGGTAATTATTTTTTCTAGAGTCTTGCAAGGGTATCCCTCCACCTGATACCCTCAAACACCCTGAGCAGGACTAGGGCATGCATTGTAGGAGCAAACAAATCTCAGCTGCTCTTGGTAGCTACCGGAGGGATATGTGCTGTACTGTGATATCTACATGTTCTGTACATGCTAATGTACATGCTAATGATCCCTTGATGTAAAAGGCAAGTGCCCTGAGTAGTATTGTTAAAGGTCATACACCATACCTTGCTTGGTCAAGGCAAATATCATGGGTAGAAACTTGGGTGAGGAATCAACCTTATTTCATTTGTACTTTCTAAGGCATAAATTTACTACGAACAAACAGATTTTGTGTCAGATGGGACCTGTTGCTCCCATGTTATAGCTATTTCAGGAGTGTTTTGAAGAGTCCTGCAGGTAAAAATCTGACCCAACAAATTAAATTTACCAAAGTGCATTTCTTTTCTGTATCTAGACTATGTGTACGAGTATGAGGCCAGTCAGTTGATTTTTTTTCTGGGAAAGTGCTTTTCCAAGTGCTACCATTGTCTTTGCCAACACATGTATGGTAATTTAAAAATCAAAAGGAGATTTGTACACTGGAATCATGGTCACAGAATTCAACAGAAATGATGGTTTAATGAACATTTTTTTTATCTGATTCTCATCGAAACTTCTGTCCATTTCAGAGTGTTTTTAAAGTTGGATGACGTTTTCTGTGTATACTCTTGGTAATTTAGCCTCAGGTATTGATGTACATGTAATTGTGTGGAAACTGAGCGAACTGCAGCTCTTGTTGATATTTACAAAGCATGTCAGTATCATGAAATACATGCACTAAAGTCAGAACCTCGGTTTGGACCAAACTGATGAAAAGGACCTGCCACTGGAATTTACGGCAGAGCCTAAAAATGGTTCCCTGACTCTCCACTGTGAAATTTCAATCCCTGCAGGATACAGCAGCCAGGTGGGCCCACGAGTCCATTAGTCCTCTCACCCACAGTCACATCAGCAGCTGCCTCGTCCCCATCCACCACCACCACCAGTCAGACGATCACAGCGTCACCTCATGATCCCTCCCAAGGTAGGTTTTTGTGAGTCACTACCGTAGTCTGAACACAGCACAAATATCAGTAGTTAAGAGTCTAGCCACTGCATTATTGTCTGTGGAGCCTCACGTGTCGGGGTACGCTCACTGTAAATTGTAAATGTCCATTTGTGTGTGTACCATACTGTACTTCAAACCTCGGGCTAATCACACCAATGAAAAGGCAGTTTATGTTAATTCAGAATCTCTGTCCTCAGATCCCTGTACAGTCTGAGGTCAAGTCACTAATACACTGCCTGTCCTCATACCCATCTGTGATATGGTACATGTAAAAGGTCAAGTCTCCATAGCAGTGAGTGTCCTCAGACCCCTGTATGAAATGACGTCAGATCAGTGCAAGCCCTACCTCTCCCCAGACACCTACCGGTACTGCACTCCGCTGAGGCCAGGCCTGTAGTATACTGCTTGTCCTCGGACCTTTGGATAATGTGAAATCAGATTTCTGGTACCCTACATGTACATGTACAGTGTGTGTTCTCACAGCCCTGCATGATATGAGGCTACATGTACATGTAGGTCTGCAGTACACTAACCACTTTGCGTTCTCATGTACATGTATAGTGTGTGCACATGTACATGTCAGAGTTTCTCTTCTCATTATTTTGCGGAGTAACCTTTATGTTAAGTACATATACATGTACCATACAGTCACATGCACACTTATTGGCAGATTTTGTTCTTGATGATTGATTAAAAATGTCTGTGTTTTTTCATTTTCTCTTTAGATAATAGGAAAAACAGTGCTAAATTCTGTTCGGCTAGAAAGCCCGTAGAATTTCAAGAACCTTTTTAAATTTAAGAAAGCATTTTTTCTCGATGAGAACCAGTCTACATGTACATGTAGGTCTTGAAAATGTCATTTTAAACTAGTCAAAGAAAAGCATAGCTGTGGAGTGAAGATCACAGAAAGATTTGATCTGAAGTGTGTACATGTATCTTGCATTTGTTCCACAGCCTCTTCAACCTCGTCATCCTCTGTGATGTACCATACGACCCAGGGCATCATCTACGCTACCTCCCCTGGTACCATCCCTGAGAGTCTCTTGTTACCCACCTACCAGGCAACCACCTCTGGCAATCAATCCCAGGATAGAAGTAAGATTCCCTCGTCTTCCCTGGACTAAATATGACCTGGATGGTGTGGTTTACATTTAACGTTAACATTAGGGGTGCTTTTGTGATCTATTCCAGTGACACAGATTTGCAACAAATAATCTCTTAGAGCCTGGAGCCTGTAAGAGGTTATGTGTGTCATGGCGGTACCGTACATGTAACTAAAATGTCAAAGTGGAAACCTGTTTATTAACACAGAACATTTAAAAACAGAACAGAAAAGATTCAAAACAACTGAAATTGGCCTAGTTTTTAATGCTTCCAAACACGTTACTAATGATCTCTTTCACAATTTAACCCCTTTGTGCTGAGCGTATCTTTGGGTTGGTTTGGTTTTGGTTTGGTTTATTTATTTCCCATACCATACACAATTTAAATAATATAAGGTAATGAAAATAAATTAAATAGTGTGGAGGTCATAGGTCAAATGAAAAGCCAAAGCTTGTACAGGGTCTGCCCTTGCAAAGATAATTTACATGTAAATTTACAATTCTCGAGAGAAACAACGATCAGAATTAATAATACAGAATAATGTGTGAAGGTCTTCATTAGTTCAAGTTAGTAAATAGCTGCATTCAACAGCACAAAATCCTACCGGTAATTACAGGTTTAAAAATATATAAATTCAACTTTGGCATTGTTAAGAAGTAAACTGGCCCCAGGTGTAGAATTGCTTTAACTGTGATATTTTTGAAAGATACATGTAAGACACAATTGTCCGATTTGAAAATGAAGTCAAATGCCTCAAATATTAATACTTGAGGGTCATTTGCACAATTTACACACAACATTTTGTTAGATATTTCTTTCCCTAATTTTGTCTTCTTATCTTGTGAGGCTTTGCCTCTGGTCAGTATTTGCTTAAATGTGCCATGTGCAACAGCCAAGTCAGGCTACTATGTATCGGGTAGTGTCGAGCCTTTTGTTTTTCTTTTCTTTTTTTAGCAGAGTTAATGCATAATCGTTTGCCCTGTTGACATGTATGCTTTCTTCAGGTAATGTGAACATTGGGGTTCTCCCGGTATCGACAGGCCAAGCCACCACAAATGCCTCGGTGCCGATCTCCATCGCCAAGGCCACCCAAGAAAATTTACAGGTACTGAATATCTGGTCAACTGCCTGATTTTGTATTTCAATTTTTTTTTTGGCGAGGAACCCTTCTGAATCTTCCCAAATCATCCAGATTGCGGAAAACCAGTGAACATGCTACCGGTACATGCAGCTACAGGGCAACAAGTCCAATGTAAAGTAGCAGTTGGTGGAGAGGATTAAATTTCTCACAGGGCTTTAAAGGACGAGACAGATAGATGCAGGTTTTCCAAATTTCAGCGGCGTATTTGGCTTTGACTTGAGACCTCATTTTTGAGAATTCCTGGTGCTTTGGGTTAGACCCTGTGGCCTATTGCACACCATCCTCTGCCACATAGAAACTGAAGTGTGTTCTGGAGCCCAAAATGAAGCAAAAGATCTGGAGATGAAGATGACATGTGGAAAGTGCCTTGTACTCCCAAGGCTCCCTGAGCTGCTTCTTTTTAGTGACTACTTGTATTGGGTGTCACTTATGAATGTTGGCATAATCAGGGTATTGGCATGTGGTGCAATGTATTGTATCCCTAACCATTTGGAATAGCTCTGGAATGCCTTTGGTTTAGACATCGCTCTGTGTATATGCCAAACTAAATGTAAATTCACATAAATGTATGATTATTAGGAAATATGACCTTTAGAATCCCACAATCCATCAGCAGCGTTGGTGTTAATGATGTCATGGCCCTGTAAACAGTGCGGATGATGTGATTACATGACTACATTTTTTATTGGAATCAACTGACATAGAGCATGGGCTGATCAAGTCATGTTGGAATTACTTAAGATGCACATTAATGTCCATCCCTGTCCTTTTCTGCTTTTATCCATGCCAATATACATGTTCAACTCGTGTTGCTGTTACTTGTATTTGGTTTGGCATAACTTTGGCATGCCAGTCTCTGTGGGTTGAAATGGATCATTTGCTCGTTATTCAACTGCTTGGAACTAGTCTTGACCAAGACTGTTTTTTTTTTGTCTGAGAAAGCAAATGACCGCTGCCATTCACCGCTTCGTGCCGGGGTACCCGGTTTTGGGCACATAGGCTTTATACACAAAGCCAGGGAGCCCGAAATCGGACAAAAGAGCTGGGCCATTTAATGAAAGACTGTACTCGGAACAAAAGACTGAGCTGCGGGGAATTGCCAACATTTTTTTCAGTTATCAGTAGCAGAAGAAATCCGTCATTGTTTTGAAAGATTTTACCACTGTTTGTGGCATTCAGCGCAAGTGGATTACCACCGGGGACAAAAGCGCTCCAGTGATGAGCAATACAATACCACTGCACGCTAATCTGGCTCCTATTGAAAAGACGTCAGTAGCGCACTATGCCAGTTTCAGGAACAAAAGAAAATGACCTAACACTACACAATCTGGACTCTTTTTACAAGGCGGCAGGCCTGGCTGAAATACGAGCATCAATAGATGTTGTCTGTCAGATTAGAGTAGCCACCAGACAGTCATTCATGTGGGTGTAATCATCCAATAAACAAAGTTATAAGTTTTAACCACTTCATGCCGGGGCATTTTTCAATCTTGATGATGCTGGGCCGGCATGACTATCATTTTTTCCATTTTCAAAGTCCTTCAAAAATTCATCATTTCATTTAACGGTTGTTTATAGCCGCACAAAGTAATCTTTAGGCACTACTCTAAGTTGACAGGTGACCTTCATTGACGCCTGAGTATTTCAACCAGGCCTGCAGCCTTGTAAACAGAACCCAGATTGTGCAGTGTTGTATAGCTGTCTTTTGTTCATGAACCTGGCTCAGTGCACCGCTGACCTCTTTTCAATAGGGGCCAGATTAGCATGCAGGGGTGCTGTGTGGTTCATCGCTGCGGTGGTGGAGCGCTTTTGTCCCCGGTGGTAATCCGCTCGCTCTCAATGCCCCAAATCCTGGTGTACGGTTTCAAAACAAGGCTGGATTATCACCACTTTTGAGAGTGAAAAATGTCGGTAATGCCCAGCAGCCTGGTCTTTTATTCGGAGTACGTTTTTTTGTTACAGGGTCCTGTTTCCTTTGTTTGAGTTTGGAGACCCCCGCCACACATACGTCTCCGATTCCGGAGTCCCCGGCAGGAAGTTGTTAAAGAATTTTGAAAACACAAACAAAATGAAAAGTCACCCGAACCAGCAGAATCAACATGGATAAATGGGCCCGGCACGAAGTGGTTAACATTTTCTGTGCCAACACTCACTGCAAAGCACATGGCACTCACCAGCTACATGTACATGTATGGTATACCCCCGCCTGTCACGTCACCAGACTGGCCATGCATGCACACATCAGGCCTGCATGTGCATACATATACCATGCTGTCTTGGTCACACAGTGAGGTCCTCTTCCAGACACTGGACTACAACCACTGCATGGACCATCTTGTGAGCCCCAAATCATTCTGGATGAATTGGTATAAACATGATTGAATGCATGAGGTACTGGTGTGCAGTGGAAACAAACAAAGGAAAGTTAATAGCCTTGGTCGCTCACTGTGGTCGCTCACTGTGGTCGCTCACTGTGGTCGCTCACTCGGGAATAAGTAGAGAGCCTTGGTCAAGGCTAGTTGGAACCTAAGTTTTGTTCTGACCTATTACAAGTAGTCACATGTGCATGTATCGCAGTATACAGCAGGGAACCAGGATCATTAAGTTTCACAACAAACCCTTGTACATGTAGTTCAACTGGAGACGTTTGTACTGGTACACAGTGGCAAGATCTTCTTACCAGTGGTGTTGGTCATAGTTGCTTCTCATCAGATCACCAAACCAATGTGTCCTATTGATGCCCTATCAAACACTGCTTCATCAGGAAACTGACAAGGCTGTGACCCACGCTTTGCTTTTTTTTTGCAGACCACCAGTCCAGGAGGAGAAAGGAAGCACTCATCGGCAAGCGACAGCAAAGGCAGCCATCAGAGCCGGCCTTACTTGCTCCCTCCGCAGACTAAACACAGATAACACACCCAACTGAAGAAACACATCACCTGTCTTCTCAGACATGCTTTGCAAATGTTGATAAAATTACAAGCTTCCTCTGCATATGTGGTCTTTACTTGCAGTTACACGTTCCCAGGGAACTTCAATTTCTGTCAGTGTGGACTTTTTCGGTTAAACCCTATAAAGCACAGCAGAAATCAACAGTAGTCAAAAGTTGCCTACAAAGTGCAGTGTTAAATTTAGCGGTCAACACAAGTGGCAGAATACACTTCGTAGCTGCACAATGCCAAGACTTGTGTTTATGTGGCATGATGCAACAAAATCCAGTGTTGTATTTTGTTGTAGTTTGTAAAGTTGTGATTTCAGCTGTGCTGCTCTTTAAGACAAAGGTACCAACAGCAAACCTGGGAATAAAATAACACTGAAGTCTAAAAAATGCACCATATCCATTTCCATATTCATATTTTGGTGAAAGTTGGGCTCTTTGTAAAAATTTAAGTCCCATGAGGCACAGAAGACAACAGCGAAGCTGTTTCCTGAACTGAGGTTGAATTTTGACACTAAAATGACTGGATCATATAAAAAGCATTAGCTTGGGAGACAGCATTTGATACTAATCAACCCTCTTTACCCTCCCTGCTGTTGAGAATCTCATACATTTGATTTTTTAAAGCGCACTAGGTTCCGTCAAAGCTCATGGTTTTCCCATCCACTGGTTGGCAAACTATGACTCATTGCAAGTACGAGAGGAAAAAAACAACTCGTAAAGTATTGGAAAATCCGCTCTTCAAATACCTTTAATAAATACTTTGACTAGACAGAACCGATGCACTGATACACCCATCTGTAAATTCTATTATCCCATCTCTAAATGGGAGAGCTTTTTAGTCAGAACATGTTGCTTACTAAGAATAAACCTTCTGCAGTGTTAGACAGCGCATACAAAATGCGAACAAGAGAAAGTTCTTGTGTGTTTGGACATTTAAACCAAAACCCGGGATATCAAGGCCAGTGGGATCCAGACCCCTCTTCATTAGTGAACAAGAAACAAAGACTTTCTCTAATAGTGCTACTCTTATAAACGGCAGTTGATTTCTCTCATAAATGTGACAGTGTGGTTTATCGATAATAGGATAATTTGTTCAAATTAGTTCACCTACTTATAAAAGAGCACATATGTGCATGCTCTGCACTAAGCCTGCATTGCTGGCATTAAAGTTCCTTTTTTCATCAATAATTTCAAGTTAGTTTTACATAAAGGTGCTTCCAGTTGTTGTACTCCATTTGCCGTAATGTGAAATATTGCTGTCTTTATTTATCCAGATTTCTTAAAGTATTTTCAAGATAAAATGTACAGCTACATACATGTATGTGCACGTGTACATGCATTGGTGTAAATTATGTACAAATGGTGTAAATACATGTACATGATGTATGTAGTTATGGTCCACATAGAAACTTCTTATACGTGACAAGATGGGAAGATGTGACAGGTGTCCAAGGGGCACTCGTAACCACTTATTTCTTCAACCTGTCCACGTATAGACTTTCACAGAATGTTTGTGTGTTAATTGTCATGTTGCAGTGAGCTACCCACAACAGTGGTGGAACATTTTTTCAAAGGGAGGGGGAATGGTTCAGTTGTAAGACCATCAGGCATTAGCTATTATAGGCCAAACCATTTATCTCAACTCAATTGTGTTCTGATCAAAGGGTCATTTCTCTCAGTTAAATAGTGGAGGTCGGGGGGGGGAATTACTGCCCCCTGGATCCCCCAGTTTGCTGCCAGTGGCTACCCACAAATGAGACGTGCATTTCATTAATGCTCCCTTTTGAAGATAAGTGGTTATCAGGGCTCTTGGATAAGGTATTTGGTGTAAGCAAAGGAAGACTTATGGAAAACAAAATTGACAGTGAAAATTGCAGATGTAACTGTGGAGTCATTGTTTTATTCCATTCACTTTCAGGGGCTGATGCAAAGTAATTACATGTAGTTGCAATTATATAGATACACATGCGAGTCACAAAACAGCGATGGGATTGTTGGTATGTAAAAACAGACATACCGGTAACATTGTACACGTACATAAAATTGGACAGAAATGTACAATATGTGAATATTTCTAGAAATGGAACATATTTTGTGTTCCAGGAGACAGTTGTGGAGCGCTAACTCGTCATTTTACTTTATCCCCTTACATGTATAATGCCAAGTTTTCCTGTTGGCCACTTAGGATGCACTGTTTGGTTGGGGCATTTTTTTGCTACAACTACACTATCTCTGAAAGGCTTATGCTGTATATGCATCAAAATGTGACCATGCTGAACTATTTTGATCACCCCTATAGCTTCATTGTGGGATGTCGAGATATTGACATGGCACAGGTTCTAAGGTCTAGTCTGGTGCCTTGCTTTCAAACCACATTGGTGAGAGTTAAACCTGGGACCCCTGACTACAGGTATGTTATCAAAACAGGCTAGCTTTTCTGCAGAAAAGAATCACCAGATTCTCCAATTTTTTTCCACCAATTTTGTTGTTGTTGGGGGGGGGATTTTTAAAAAAATTTAGGACGCTTTGACATTCTCGAGCCCAAGTAAAGCCAAGTGATTTCTAAATTAAGTGTAAGACTATACTGGTATACCAGCTTGAGGAAAAGGCAGAAGACCATTCAGAAGTCAGGTGGTGAGACCATGGACTGAATACTCGGAGATAAAGACCAGGTGCCTGCACTTGCATGGATAATTCTTTTAATACTGAAGAAGTGTGGGACGGATAATACTGTGACTTTGATCATATCAATACATTCATGACTCTAGCATACATGTACATGTATGTGTTGAGTCGATCTTAGCTACTACCAAAAACTAATCTAATCTTTTCCTGGAAACTTCAAATTTTAGCGCTATAAAAGTTTTTTAAATTTAAACATTGCAAAATGAAGCTTTTCCCTTAAGAGTGTATTCTGCCTGTTCTTCATATTTTAAAAAAATATGCAAATTTGTAAAATATGTAAATATAATGCATAAATTATTTCTTGCCATTTGCTGTCAACAACTGGTGAATGCACTGTTGAATAATTTTTATCGAACCCAAAGGATTTAAATTTGATCTTTTTATGAACACGCTTCAGGCCGAGAATCTCCATGCACAAGAAATGTATTATCACATATGGGGTACTCTCTTTTGTTCTTGAAAATGTGAATTGTAAATCGATGAAAACTTGGCAAACTGCCAACTTCACTGCTGTAAACACAAATTACCCCAAATATTTAGGGTTCTACCAAGGTTGTGGGCAATTTTGTATTACATTGCACATGCAGTAAGCAGTTCTGTGGCTATTTTAAGAAATTATATACTGTTGCCAAAAAGCTTAACATTAACCATAACCTTTTTGTCTTAAAATAATATAGCATTTTTCCAAAGCAATGTGCATTTCAATTATTTGGCCTGACATGTGCCAGTAATGTGATTTTCAAAGTGTTCCACTTTTCGTATGGTTGGAAAACGCAGCTATTTTCTCTTCTACCATTGTAGATTTGTAAATCAAGAACATATTCTTCATTTTAAGAATATAATGCAGGAATTGCAAAATTAAATTGGAGAATTATTTTCTCATTAATCTGTGCTTGCCTGGTGTTTTATTAAATTATGTGTACAAATGGGTACTGTGATTTAAAGGTTTAACATTTACATTCTGCTGAAGTATGTGCAGAAAAATCAATCTTGTGATTTCCATATTTAAGTCAGTCACACAGAACTGGATTTGCTATGAAATAGTGGAGCAAAACTGTTAATTCTTTGCTAAAACATTTTGTTTTATTGTACATAGCAATAAAAGCATAGCACTACAGCTGTAGACAATCCAAGTGGAAAAATAAAAACTTGTTTCCCTTTAAACTTAGAAAATTTATCACAATCATATGATGAGTGCCAGAAGGGGACAATACTACCTTGCCGTCATTCTGACTTAATGTTTTGAAAATTTGACGTTATGTTCCCACATGGCCCCCATTTTCTGAAAAAGGTTTACCGTCAACTGACGTGAGCTATGCATGAGGGTTGACACTTGTGTGGCCTTGAACTTTAATCGTAACAACAATACATGTATGTAGGCCTGAGTTCTTTGTACTGAAAGCAAGTTTTTTTAAATGCAAGCCAAGTTTCAAAGATTAGGGGTGGGCGGGACAGCTTATGTCAATGGGAGGGGTGGGTGGAATCCACCTAATTTCCACCCCCCCACCAGGCTGTGAGATGGATTGAAATAAAAGCAGCTCTATTAGGATTAATAGCCAAGGCAAATAAATTGGCAATCATGGTCCACTTTTGATATATATACATGTTCCCTCTGGGCTCTAGTGAACAACGGCCACACATTGTTGGTGACTGTTCAGACCTAGGGAACGGATCTACACCAGTGTTGCAGTAAAATACAATACAACCATCTAGTGATAACCGATAAACCAGTCTGAAGGCAGGCAACAAATCATCTTATTCATTCAAAGTTCCCAAGAAAAACATGCTTGTTCAAAACGCAGCAAACATTGCAGTGATTTTTTTTTACACTCCAGTAAGTCACACACCTGGACTACACACCTGGACTTAAAGGAAATACATGTGTACTGTAACAAAACCATCAATTCTCTGTTGTAACTGCTTTTGTGTATTCCAGATTTTTCCTCTTTCACAGGTTTGAAATTAAGCTGATAAACGTGCAAACCTGCTCAGCATAAAAACCAAACTACTGTAAGGGAATACAGATAACCAGAAAACACTGGTTTTTATTGCTTTTGATGGTACCCATCTTTCCAATGGGTAACTCCAAATGACTTCAATCAACAGTCACTGAAAGTTGCAACAAACTAAGAATACTGCCTTGAAACGTTATCCAGCATAAATGTATAGATACAAAATAAATTTTATAGACATTTGGATTTGGTATAAAACTACTTTCCCTTGACTGTACATTTTATACACGGGGAATGTTTAACAAATTGGCGCACAAAATCTCGTTGGAATGGATGCTGTATATGTTGTACATGTATTATGATGTTTTCTTCGTACATATTTTGAATAGGTAAGGAAATAATCTGTAAACTTTGAACATTAGCATTAAAGCATTGATAAATTAGGTTAAGGGGATGAACAAATTTATGTTTAATTGCTAAATTCATTATTATCCAATCTTAGATAGAGGGGATAAAAGTTTCAAAAGCTGATTGACTACCTGAGCACATACATGTACATGTAGTGGCTTGGCTATCAAAAAGAACATTTTGAGGAAAACATGTCATTTTGATATAATTTTTGATTTGTCACATTTCAGCAGTCCATTAATTTTTCCAGAAATTTTCTGGCAAGTCCGTCCAAAGTTGAACTCCAATTTTTAAAATTATTCACATGTACAATTATGCATGTAGAGCATTGCTGCCACTTTTCAGTTTAATCATGCAAACTGTATAAACATCGCTAGGAGAGAGGCTGATATCTGCTTCAAGCCAGTGTTGCAACACAGCCACCTACATGCACAAAAAACATTACTCACTGCAGAAACATTTATCACAAAATGAATACAACTGATTGCATTACTACTTGCAGCAGTTTGCAGTGCAAATACTAACGTTGGCTTTTCAATTGATTTCACATGCAAATAGACAAAATGTATACATGTAGCGTATACATTGTACATGTACATGTGCGTTCAAGCTTAGCTACCCGTAAACATGGGTTAATATTTGGTTTTGCATGAGGTAGAACCAAGCAAACTGTTCCATGGACAGGACTACA